CTACATAAATCCATTTACTGGCAGCTACTTTGTAATAGATTTAGCCATAAATGAGCCATCAATCTATATGGATTTCTCTTGGAAGGTTCTGGCAGACATATGCAGTAGTGATCACTTGCCATTTGTTCTGCAAAATTCAGAATATAAGGATAAAAATTCTCTCCATTGGAAATTAGGCAGAATGAACTGGGACGAATTTAAAAACCAATGTTCTGATAAACTTACTGAAGGTAAATTCATCAAGGACTTAGAACAGTTTGCGAAAATCATTATGTCTATAGCAAAGGAATTCATTCCAAAAAGATCAGTACAAAAAAATGTAATAGACCTTGGTTCAATGATGGATGTAAGGAAACTATCAGGCTCTGAAGAAGAAATAATTAAAGTAAAAAAAAAAAGGAATGTTGGAAAAATTATATCAGCAGACTTAATTCTGCCACAAAAATAAAATCTGTATGGGATATGATAAGGAAAATAGCTGGTAAACATCATACTAATGCTATAAAACATCTCTCAATAAATAACTGTAAAATAACCAGTAATAAGGATATCCAAAAACTCATCTGCCAAGAATGGTAGCCAACAATGACTGAAGCTCAAACAAAAAGCGCCAAATCAAAAATTAAAGTTTAAATCTAATAACACTGAGATCTATAACCTACCATTGACTATAGAGGAACTAAATGAATCTTTAAAGAAAGCCCACAATACAGCTGTGGGATCTGATATCCACTATCAATTCATAAAACAGTTGCCCAACAAGTCATTACAACTGTTAGTAAATTTGTATCACAACATATGGATAAGTGGTAACTTCCCAGATATGTGGAGACAGTCATTCATCATTGCTATTCCAAAACCTGTAAAGGATGACACAGACCTTGAAAGCTACAGGCTGATAGATCTCATGAGCTGCCCATGTAAAACAATGGAGAGAATGGTAAACAGCAGGTTGACTTGGTACCTTGAAACGAATGGCGTAATCAGTGACTACCAATGTGCTTTTAGGAATAAAAGAAGTACCATGGATCACTTAGTATGCCTCAAAACTTTTTTTAAGGGAAGCCTTCATTAAGAAAGAACATCTCATGGCAGTTTTTTTTGGCTTAGAAAAAATGTATGATACAACATGGAAATTTGGTATCTTGAAAGATCTGCATGAAATGGGTTTAAGTGGAAGGTTGATTCAGTTTATAGGAATTTGCTTAAAGACTGGAGTTTTCAAGTCCATATAGGAAGTACATTATTGGAACTGCAAGATCAAGAAGGCAGTTTCACAAAGAAGCATTCTTTTGGTGATGCTTTTTTGTATAAAAATTAACTCCATAATTAAAACCCTAAGCCCAGGAGTGTGAAGATCTCTATATGTTGATGATTTTCTAATTATGCACAGATCTCGACATATGAATACCATTGAAAAACAACTCCATGTCTCAATAAAATACACAAATGGGTCACTGGAAATATGTTTACATTTTCCTAAGAAAAACTAAATGCTTATTTTTCTGCAAAGAAAACTGCACAATGACCTATGTTTAAAATTAGACGGTTTAGGAATCCCAGTAGTGAAACAACATAAGTTTTTAGGCATTATCTTTGATAAAAAATGAACGTTCATTCCCCATGTAAAATATTTGAAAATCAAATGTAGCAAAGCCCTATGACTCCTGTGTGTAGTGGCCCATGCTGAATGGGGAGCAGATCAACTAATATTAATCAAGTTATGCAGATCATGACTTCACTCCAAACTGGATTACTTTAGTGTTATATATGGTGTAGCCAGAAAGTTGTACCTAAAAATTGCATCCTATCATTAAGGTTGCAGATTAGTACTCAGGGCTTTTAGGACATCCCCAGTGGAGAGCTCATACACAGAAGTTAATGGAACACCTCCACATTTATGGCACACTAAACTGGCATTACAGTACTATGTAAAAATAAAATTAGGCCCAACTTCCCCAGCTTACAGCAGTACCTTTGAACCAAATTACTCTGATCTATTCCAACAAAAGATAATGCTATACAACCCTATGAATTCATGATGAAATCCTTTTCTGAAGAGTTAGGTACCACATTCTCAAATATACAAGAAATGACAACAGCCAGTATTCCACTATGAACTAACAAGCAAACTGAAGTTATGGTAGAATTACGTAATCTCTCCAAACAAAAAATGCACCCACTCACATTCCAGGATAAATTTTCGGACTATTAGTAAACTTCCCTAAGCATACACCCATCTATATAAATGGGTCAAAATGTGAGGACAAGATAGGATGTGCAGCAGTGAGCCAAAATATTACCAAAAAAGGTGCCTCCCCAAAGTGAAGCTCTATTTTCACTGCAGAGGCTTATGCAATTGAGCTGGCTCTCAAAATTATCTCAGAGAGAAAACAAAAAATTTTCTAATTTTTTCATACTCACTATCTGGAAAAATCCAACAATCCACTTATGAAAATATTATGCAAACTGAACGCTATTAACAAGCATAAAGACATCAAACTGCTGGATTCCTAGCTACATCAAAGTTAAAGATAATGAAGCAGATCTAGCAGCCAAGTAGGCATTAGATATGAATTTAGATACAAGGGCAAAAATCACTTACACAAATTTTAAAGAGATTATTAATAAATACATTCAAAAGGAATGGCAACAGTACTGGGATGATAACCCACACAATAAATTCTTTGCAATTCAGCCCAAACTAGGAGAATGGAAGTCAGCTCCCAGAAAATCTTGTCAGGAAGAAATGGTATTGGCCTGTGTATACATTGACCATATGGGAATAACCCACTCGTACTTACTAAACAAAGATCAACCAGCATGCCAAGCATATAAAATGGCATATACTATTCAACATATATTAACCGAGTGCTCAGATTTTGCTCACTCGAACAAAAATTCTATAATATAAACAATATGTGTAAACTGTTTGAGAAAGTAAAAGTGGATGATATAATATAATTTCTCAAAACAGTAGTTTATAATTTTCAGTCGAAAATTATAAATTAAATTAAAATGTCAAAATCAATTTCTCTACAAACTGTGTATCAGAAAAGAATACATCAATGAAAGCAGATTCTTGACAACAACCCTCTTTATAAAAAGTATATCAATGGAACTGAATCTACAAACATTCCTTACAAGGAATATATGTCTGTTCATACAAATTTATTGTAAAAATCTTGTTGGCTTTAAATAAATCATTGAGTTGATATACTGTAAAACAAACCAAACCAAAACTGTGGTTAAAGAAAAAATAAAATTATCTGCCCTTGTCACCAGGAGGGAGCATTCATTTTTATGCCATCTTGAAAAAGGATTGTGACTTGTGAATTGCAACAAAAAGGAGTGTCTTGCCTGGAGAACCTTTGACACACAGGATTAACTCCTCACTAGGATTTTTACCAGCACTCGAAATCACAACAAAATCAACCAAACCAAAAATGTAGCACAACTGGAAAAGTAGAGAATGCAGAACTATGTATGGAAATAAATCTTGGTAAAAACCAGAAAATAACCCATAAGTTAAATTGTGTTCAAAAATGTAATGAGTTTAATTTTAGACCAGTTATGTTATCCTTGGCAATGTTTTTTGTGCAGGTCTGATGCCTTAGTTACAAACAGGTGAAATTGTCTGCAGGTCATACTGTTCCTCATTGGTTTTGTTGGCAAACCATCTTGGAATAGGCTTGTTTCTCTTCAGTATGGTGGTATGTGGGTACACGTAACTGTTTGAAAAGAGGAAAATCCAGATTTCCAAAACGTTCAGTAACAAAAAATTCAGAAGAATGAATGAAAATCTCAAAGAAAAATATATTGTAAGTTACTGGCTGAATTTGGTAGAATTTAGAATATTTTCTCAAATTACCTCCCTTTGATTTTTCAAATAATATTTTTTTTTTCATAGACAAACTTCACCCACTGCTTTGAAAGTAATTATATGCTTTATTGTGTTCATTTATTCAACTTATGGGTTTGAATACTACACTTTTGAAAAAGAAATATTTAATTTAAACAGTGAAATCAACACATGGCAGACATAGCTGGTGTAACACTGTCATATAATGAGCCAAAATTTAACTTATGTGATATATTACTTCAATAAATATTATTATAAATATTAATATTAAAATGAAAATTCATGGAAGAATTGCAGAAATAATCCCCAAAATCATGAAATTTATGTAAATTGGAGGCTGCAGCATCATGTCAGTCAGTTATGTGCCATGTGTGATACATGCTTAGGCAATCATGTATCGAAACATACATGACTGATGAGGCAGATTTTTTTTCCCACAGTAGGTTGCCATTTCTTTCTGCGGTAGACCAGTTGCCATCCAAGACTATAGAACCTGGTCTGTCCTGCTATTTACCCATAGCCTGGGGGTGGAGAAGGGGATTCATACCTTTCCCAAGGGTATTAGCATGTAAGTGAATGTAATGGATTTGACTGGAATTCACTCGGCTCTCAGATTCCTCACTCTGAGCTGCTAGCCATTACTCCACCGTGCCTCCACAGCATCATGACTGAGGGCTAAAATATAATTTTGTCAAAAAAATGATGTAAATCAATTTCCCTATGCTACTTTTTGCTATTTTTTGGTATCCTTTAGCAAATTTTTCATACATTCTAAAGAGCTGAAAATAGCATGTCTACTGTGCCTTGTGAGCTAGAAAGTGAAAATGTAATGCAAACTTTTTTCCAACTGCCACAAAATTCTGGTCCATTTGTGCCCGACAGTTTGACAGCTTTTTTTTTTTTTTTTATAGATTATTGCATAGTAAAATAAATAATGCATTGGGGAAGATGAAAATGACATTTTTTATACAACATTTATTCAAATTGGTTGGTTATATATTTTTACAGTAATTTGCTTCCATGGTCACTTGTAAAGACATCTTTTTTGAATTTTTACAATTATCAAATTAAATGATTGTAAAGAAATTGATCTCATAATTAGTAGTTTGTATTATATAATTTTTTTTTTTAATAACAGATTTTATTTGTATTGGATCTTCATGTTTACGGGAAACAAACTCTGCCAGTTCACTGACTGCATATTTAATAAACATTTACCGAACACATGGAGTGGTGAAAGTTGACCGTACTACCATCTTGAGTGCTGATGATGCAATGTTGGGATTGCAACTATGTTTGGCTGATATCAACTTGCAGGTAAATTCTTTTATTTAACTTCATTTTACAGAATAACAATTTATTTTTTTATCTCCATTTTAGTTTTTTAATGGACATTTCTAATTATTATATTTTAATAATTCAGAAAAGCCAATTGAAGTTTTTGGTGTGAATTTCTGGGTACAAATTTTGTATTCTTTAATATTTCAGTAATGATTTCTGCTGAAGATCTAGTCTTGTAATGCTAATCAAGTTTTTTTTTTATGTGCATTTTCAGGAGAGTGGATATGTTTCAAAATAATATTTATGATCATAATTACCACACTGGCTATAGAATTTACTCCTGTAAAGTTATCAACATTTAATGTACCATAATTTGATTTTTCATTAACTTCAAAGGTATCTGAAATGTTTGGAATGCTAATGTAGGACACTAACAAATGCACAGAAGATAATCTCTGGAGAATTTTAGGATACTTACAAAAAGTGATCAGTTCATTTCAATGGATATTATTAATAATGTAAATTCTTTTTGAGTGACTCTAGGATTGGATAGTGAAATTAGTTTTGTTAATCACTTTATGTTAAGCACACATTAATTCCTAAAAGGACTAAAATAATCTGTTTTAAAGAATTACACTTATTATGCATTTTCTGGTTTAAGGAATTCTAAAAAAATAATGGGTACATTTTTATGATTTATCAGAATACTAAGATTGTTTATATTTTAATGTACTACAGAAAAATATTTTAATTTTAAGATTGTAGCATTTCATTTTAAGGAATTTAATGGGTCATGTTGCAGTACTTAATGATTTCTTTGGTCTTTCTTTTTAAACAATCTTTCTGCTTTCCTTTTTGCAGGCTACAGGTGAATTTGATGCTCTACTCAGTGATGTGCTGACAGTAATGAACTGTGTAGCTGAGAGGAAGTTGAAAATAAATGAGAAAGGGATTTTTGAATCAAAAGAATTAGGAATCACAGACAGTGTGGATGAAGAACAGAAAAAACTCTTTGAAAAATATCAAAAATTTTTAGAGAGTTCCGTTTATGTTGACTTATATGATTTACTGAATTTCTACAAGGATCAATGTTCCTCACTAGATGAAGAAGTTAAATGCTTGAATGACAAATCCTTTATCATATTTGATTACCCAGTCAATGTTGTTGAAGTAAGTTGTTTTTATTTATGGATTATCATAAATTTAGTTTATATAGTGGACTTGTTTCCATTTAAGTTGAGTTTAATAAAAATATGATTAATTTCACTAAAGGGATTAAAACAGTATTAAAGAAATATAATCAAAATTAATATAGATTTTAATGAATTCTGTCTTTCATGGATCAGTTTAATGCATTTATTGCAAACTGATGTGGGATTGCATTTTCTTAAATGTACTAATCATTTTCAAGTAACTATGATCTTTATTTTCATATGTAGATGAATATCAGAGAATGAATTCATGTTTTATAATTTTTATTTCAGTTTATGAAAAAACTAGGAATTGATTAAAATTGTTAACTAAAATATAAATAATTTAAATTCAATATAATTTTTGATTTGTTTTAGTGAACAATGTAATATATATGAGTAATTATTAGTACTTTAAAATAAATTTAAGATATCCCTGGTGGGGTTGTTTTTCATCATATTACTTGGCTTTTACACACTACTAAATTAAGGAACATCTAGTAAAATCAACAAAAAATTATCATGCTATAATTTTTTTCTGTTAATAATATTTAACAATATGTAATACACATACATACATACATACATACATACATACATGAGGGTACATCCATAAGTTTGTAGTTTGACACATTCATTGGCCGAGTTTTCACTGAATAATTAATAGTAAAAGCATTAAAAGGAAAGTGATTGAGAAATTTGTGTAAAATGCTTCCCCCTATATATATATATATATATATATAATATAATATAATATCTCTGTTCCAATGAGAGGTTATATCTATATAGCTACAAAACTCCAAAGTAAACAAGAGTTAAGTGAAGAAAAAAAAAACTTTTATATATATATATATATATATATATATATATATATATAATATTGCACTGTATACTATACATTGAGCTCTCTTTATGAATATCTTTTTAATATTTTATATTAAAAAGACCTACTTGGATTATCCTTTCCACTTAGGGATTTGATATATATATATATATATATATATATATATAAGAGAGAGAAAACACACTTAGAGATTTCTATATCTGTCTTTTCTGTTAAGAAAAGTACAAATTTGAAATTGGGTACAATTGCTTTTGTAGTTTTAACTGGAATATAAGAGGTCAAATTTTTTCTCAGGCCAAGATGTTGAAGCATTTTACTGAATGGGAAAACACAACTTGTTTTAAGCTAGATTTTCATTTTAGTGATCAGTATTTCATTTTTTGTAAAAGCTATATCTTGGGAGTATCTTTTACATAAACTGAATAATAAAAAATCTTTGTTTTTTGTAGGTTTTTTTTTTTGCCAGAAATAACTAAGCTATTAGTGTAATTGGATATGCTTCTATTTCTAAATGGAAAACTTTTCTATAGATTATTTGACCTGCATTAATGTCTCTATTCTGTAATATTTGATGGTCTTTTTAAATAATCTTTCGAAATCTTTTCAGAAGGCAATGTTCTCTTTCCTCTGTTCTACAAGAGACATTACAAACATAGTTGTTAAAGAGTCATCACTAGAAGACAATGATGTGAATCTAAAATTTCAATCACTCACCTACTCCACTGATCTCTTGGAGTCATATTCTCTTCAACCAAGTACACTAAAAAATAATCGGTTGAAATTATCACCTACACAGGTAAGAAATATAATTATCTTCATTAAAAACCATTAACTTCTCAAATTGTTTTTCAGTAAAGAAAAAACTGAATAAAAATTTGAATAGGTTCCAATTCAAGTTTTCAAAGAATTAATTTACCAATAGTAGGGATTATAGTATTAGATCATCCCACTGCAAAAGTCTGCCTGATTAGAAAATTAAAAACAAAATTTTACATACTCAGAAAAAGAAAACCATTTATTAGTCAAATACATAGTCTTCATTGTTTTTAAAAACTCCCATCATTCTACAAGTTTACTGATAACATTTTCATAGAAACTTTATGCTTTTTATTGAAAGAAGATTGTGAGGTAGTTTTTGACTGACTGTACAGTCAAAATTTTTGTCATTTAAATTGTTCTGTATAGATTGTAAAAGATGAAAATCAGGAGAATACAGTAGGTGCATTTCAAGTCTGAATTTCTGCAAATTCTGTTTTGCAACATGTGGCCTTGTATTGTCATGGTGAAAAATGACACCTTTTTGATTTGTTCAAATCTGCTGTTTTTCTTGAATAACTGCATTGAGATTGGTGAATTGGTTGCAATACTTCTTCGCATTTATTGTTTCGCCAGCTGGAAGAAGCTCAAAGTGAATTATCTCTCTGCAATCTAACCAAACAAATAGCAACACTTTCAGTGGATGCAAGCCTGCTTTAGCAACAGCTTTTGCACATGACAAGCTTGTTCCCAGCTTTGTTTGCATTACATGTTATCATAAACTATCCATTTTTCATTGCCTGTGGCAATTCTGTTCAAGAATGGCTCCTCGCTGTTATGTAACAGCAAAGAAATTGCCACATAAATGCAGCTGAATTTGTTCTGTTCTGTCAGAGAATGTGGCACCCAAGTTTGGAAATGAACCCAGGTCTCTTCAAGTGGTGAAAGGCAGTTGAGATATTGGTTTTTAAATTCTTAGCAATAGCTTCCATCAATATCACCAGTTTATTCTTGACAATGGCAAGCAGAGCGTTTTCATCAATATCAGTTGGAAGGTTGCTCAGAGTATGAATGATTGTTAGGTTAAAATCACCTGGACAAAATCTTCCCAAACACTTCTCTTCACAGGCCCTGTCGGCTGGGGCTTCAGAATATGCAGACTGCACTTCTGCAGAGGGGTAAGACTCCTGCATATGAGGCTACCTTTTTGTTGAGGTTGCAACCCATAATGTCTGGGGATGGGATCCTGGTAGTTGAAGGCTTCAGGAGTCAGGGTTACTTCTGATTTCCAACACACCACTTTGACCCTTACTTGAACTAGACGGGTGGTTGGAGAGACCTGATCCAATAAATAGGCTGGTCATGACAAGTCCTAGCACCTATAACTATATTTATGGAGTACATTATAACAAAATACAATACACCAAATATGCACTGGGATAAAATACCATCTCTATCCAATTTATAGACATTAGAAGGCGATGACTGATGGTCAATCGGTTCGAAAAGATCTAAACTTAGACATGACTGTGAACATGCCAGTTTGTACATTTATATGGGAAGTGCAACAAATGGTTTAACAGGTGCTCAGAGTCTCTTTTGACTACAAGTATACTGGTTTGTTTAGCCATTAAACTGTCAAAGTGACTGGGTTTCCACACTGACATATCCCAATGTTAGGCTCCGAGCTGGGTGGGGAGCACAGGTAGTTAATTTTAATACACAGAAATTATGAATAATCAAAATAAAAAGCCCAAAAGATGTCTTTCATACTCTGATTCTGAAAAAGAAATTAATACGGAATTTCCAAGATTCACATCCCTAGAAGAAACACTGCTGGCAAAACTTTACACTTTCTATGGTACTTTAAGTGTGGCAGCAACATTATGGGGTTGTAAAGCCACAAACCAAAAAGGGAAGGATTTTAGAAACCATTATAAACATGTATTTATAACAATAAAATGCCGACTTACATAAATCCATTTACTAGCAGCTACTCTGCAATAGATTTTATCCATATGTGATCCATCAATCTGTATGGATTTCTCTTGGAAGGTTCTGGCAGACACATGCAGTAGTGATCACTTGCCAATTGTTCTGCAAAATTCAGAACATAATGATAAAAATCCTCACCATTGGAAATTAGGCGGTGCAAACTGGGATGAATTTAAAAACCAATGTTCTGATGAACTAGCTTTTAGAAAAAAAGAAGTACCATGGATCACTTAGTATGCCTCAAAACTTTTTTAAGGGAAGTCTTCATTAAGAAAGAACATCTCATGGCAGTTTTTTTTGGCTTAGAAAAAATGTATGATACAACATGGAAATTTGGTATCTTGAAAGATCTGCATGAAATGGGTTTAAGTGGAAGGTTGATTCAATTTATAGGAATTTCCTGAAAGACCGGAATTTTCAAGTCCATATAGGAAGTACATTATCGGAACTGCAAGATCAAGCAAACCTGCAACAAACTGTTAATTTTAGTATCTGTCTATATGAGATATTATGATTAATTACACTGTTTGGATTATTATCTTCATCGCTATATTTACAATGTTTCAGATTTTTTTCAAATGGAAATGTGCATGTCTGAGTTATTTCCCTTTTTTATTCCCCATTTGTAGCCTGGAACTCACAACTCTTTGGGTTTAGTCACTGGATCTAACCAACACCTTTATCCACTGGGCCATGTGTCCTTGAGAGCATCTGTGTATAAATTTCTGTGACTTATAAACCTAATGTCTCAGCAGCCGTTTTTACCAGTGCACATATTGCAATTTTTTGTTATTATTATGGCATATTTTTTACCAGAGCTTATATTGCAATTTGATGTTGCTATTCATTGCTTTTCTCTAGCACTCCTTATTACTGGTTCCTGTATTGTATTCATTTCTGATTGGTCAGTTCAGGATATTTTTGTGTCCTAGCATATGTGCTGTTTCCTTAAGTTTTCATATTTTCTAGTGATGTTCTGTCTATTATTTCAACCTCATCCCATGGCGTAGTGATCTCCCTTTTCCCTCTGTGTGGTCAGCTACACCTGATTTTTCTATTTCACCTTTTGTTACTGCTTTACGATGTTCTTGCAGTCTTACCTTAAGGGAGCGGCCTGTTTCTCCTTTATATTTCTTACCACAGTTGCACGGGATGGCATACACACAGTCCTTAGTCATGTTCTCTTCTATGGTGTGTCTTACTCGGAAGAGGTGTCTGCAAAGTGTTGAACAACTTTTGAAGATTCTCCTGATGTTATATGGATCACAGATCTTTTGTATTTTCTTCGATGATCCCTTCACATAGGGTTGACAGACTGAAGCTGTTTTCTGAGTTTGGTTATCCTCTTGTACCCTTCTATCCCAGTTTGTCAGAGCTGCTGTCATATACCCGGGGTAGTTGTTACATAGGTTACTGACCTTTTCTTGTTCATATGTCTCTGGGTAGCCACTTATGACTTTTTCTCAATGTTGTAAGCAGCGGATGATCCCTTTCTTTACACTGTATGAGTGGTGGGAGTTGAAGTTGAGGTATTGTCCGGTGAATGTAGGCTTGCAGTATATGGATTTCTTGAACCCATGCTCTGTTTGAGATATTAGTACTGGGATAGAAGAGTACAAGAGGATAACAACACTCAGAAAACTATTAAAGAGTTGTGAGTTCAATACCAGGCTAAAAATTACTTGGAGAGTTGAGTTAAAGGGAAATAACTGAGACAAGAGGCATGGCATATGGAACTAGAACAATCTACCCCAATGGACGAAAATAAAGGGTTCGGTTCGAAATTCTAATCATCTGAAGAAGGTGTACAATGACCGAAACATTGTGAATATAGCAGTGAAGATGAGAATAAAATAGTCTGAATAATGTAAATAATGCTAATTTTAGATTGTCTACAATTTGTAGTCACATAATCAGTTGGGGATGTAAATTCAGGTGATCAAATAAAGGTTAATACAAATTTCATGAACTGCTGAACTTGCTAGAGCCAGTAAAATGTTTCATCACATCATTCCCATTAACAATTTTTGTGATAATGTGGAAAATGTCCTAAAAAAAAAAAAAAACTTTCATAATCCTAGTAATTTCTGAAAGTGTACAAAAAGCAAAAACAATTATCAATATAATTGCAATCAGTTCTTTCAAGGCAGAAAGAGGTTTTTCAAGAATGGATATTACATACTCAGATAAAAGAAGCCGCCTTGCAGTGGAAAATGCAGTGAACTTGGTAACAATCTTATTGGTCTCCCTTTAGATTTATGGAATGCCACTATTTTCGTTAAAACATGGCTTAGAAAAAAATCACAGTACTGATGACAACAGAGTGAGGCAAAAAAAAAAGCTGAAAACTATGATGACAATCAAGTGGCTATTTGGAAATTTTTAAAATGAAAAAATCATAAATAAAAAATTTTAAACAATATGTATGAGCTGTTCAAGAAAGTAAAAGTGGATGATATAATATCATTTCTCAAACCAAAAATTATAAACCAAATGAAAATGACAAAATCAGTTTCTCTACAAACTGAAAAGAATACATCAATGAAAGCGGACTCTCGACAACAACCCTCTTTACAAAAATATATCAATGAAACTGGATCTACAAAGTTTCCTTACAAAGAATATTGTATCCTGTTCATACAAATTTATTGTAAAAATTTTGTTGGCATTAAATAACGCATTGAAGTTGATATGCTGTAAAACAAAACACCAAGACTCCTTATTGATTGTTTGGTCATCACCAAATTCTGCTGAATCTTTTAGAAGCTTTTGGTAAAACTTGATGCACTATCTCTGCTTGATGTGTTCAGTTATTTTGTGTGAAAACGAAAATTTTACAAGTTCACACTACACATCTGTACTTTAGGTGTGGCCTACAGATGTAAAAATCTTGATGCACTTGCAGAAAGGGTGGTGTAACCTCCTATTGAAAAGATTTTGCTCATGTGGCATTACTTTTGGCAAGAAAAAATAGATACTTTTTGAATGCACCCTGTATCACAAATTTATTAAACTTACCTTAAAATTAAAAAAACAGTAGCATTTTAGTGTACACAATTCAAATAAAATTTGAAGCAAATTTTTAATCTGAAACAATGACATTATTAGTCATTTCATTGGAGAGAATTTTCCCACAAAGTTTTTATTTGCTGTTTGTAAAAAAAAAAAAAAAAAAATGTAGATGTCCTGTGAAATTGCCTTTGTATTCTATTTGTATTTTTTCATACTCTGTTCTTTTCAAAAAATGGACAAAGTTTTGTGTATATATTCCAATTGTTGCTATTAAATTTTGACTAGATACTTAGTTTAAATTTTACAACCATTAACAGCATGAATTGGGAATAAAGAAATCTCTAATCTTATTCTTCATCTTGGTAATCATTCTGCAGAGACCCTAACCAACAAAAGAAGTTAAATCTAGTAAATTATTTATATCTTTACACGAGTCCACTACAAAGATGTGGAAATAGCACATCTCTTTGTAGTAGAAATAGAATTTCATTTTAAACATGTCAAAATGTTACAATTTATTCTTTAAATTACTTTTAGGTCACAGATAAATGGATAGTTATTTTGTAATTGTATTCTATATATAAAATATCCAAGCCATTAGTTTTTGATATGGATGAATGAGTTTTTGACTAAAATTATATTTATATAATAAACATTATTGGAACTTCATATTTTCTTGAGTTTTAATGAATTTCATTTTTTCTTTATTATATGTGGAACAAATGTTTTACAATCTGTTGGAAAATGATTCTTATTATATCCCCTTGAAAATGATTCATTTCCATGTTCTACATGAAAGACTAATGCTTCTTATTTTGTTTTAACAGAAGTATATACAGCAAATATTTTTATCCTACATAGACTTGTTGGTTAATTCAAGCAGTTCAATCAGCCTTGCCAGAGTTATTAATATTCCTGACAGAGAAATTGACCATCATGCATTCACAGTCTTGAAAAGGAGAGCCAACAAAAGCAATCTCTCAATGTATCAGGTTAGCATATTATTTTTAAATTACATAATATGAAAAATGCTATTAAAAGTGTATAATTTGTTCTTTCAGGAATTCTGTCATTTCATAAAAGTTTCTCGTGTCTGTAACTTTGGAAAAAAAAAAGTTTCTTAATACAAGGGGTAAATAGTTATGTGTGTGTATATGCCTCTGATTCATTAATGATAACTTGCTATATCCATTTTGAGGAATTTACAAAAAATAATAATAGTATAAAACTTTCACACTTAAGGTTTGTGAGTTACTAATTGTCTGGCAGTAAACTAGAAGAATGAGAAAACTCTTTCTTTTATCTTCATCTAATGTGCAGGTCTGCTACCTGCACATTATCAAAAATATACCTTCTCCGATAAACTTTTGAGAACTCCAAGCTTTTTTGGGGCTTGTAAACTACTACAATTCTTATATACCCAACGTGTAGACCATTAAATAGATTATTAAAAAAAAAAAAAGATATGAATTTGTCTTCAGAATGCCAAAAGGCTTTTGAAAAAAATAAAAAATATTTTAACTTCCGATGTATCACTGACACATTTCGGCCCCAAATTAGACATTGTTGTGTCTGAGGCTAGTAACTACAGAGTTAGTGGTGTTATTTTGAATAATTTAAAGGATGGAAAAAAGGAAGCAATTGCTTGTGCTTTGAGGACTCTAATCCCAACCAAAAAAAAAAAAACAAAAAAAGCTATAGTCAAATAGAAAAGGAGGCATTAGCAATTATTTTTGCCATGAAAAAATTCCATAAATTTATTTCCATCAGAACTCTTGTGCTACAAACAGACCATTGTTCATTCCTAACCATTTTTGGATCCAAAAAAGGAATTCCAGTATGCACCACTAACAGACTACAATGTTGGGCTAACATTTTATTAAATTATAACTTCAAAATGGAATTTGTACCTTCAAAAAAATTAATATATGCGGACATTTTGTCAAGATTAATACCAGAATTCAAAACCTACTTTGAAGATACAGTGACTGCTGCAATGAAATTTGAGGCATCTATAAAAAATATGCAACGCCATCAGAGAATTACCAGTCAGGTTAAGTGAAATAAAAGAAAAAGCCAAATATGTTGAGTATATTGAAAGCATGAAAATCTACTTAAGAATAAAGAAAATAAAGTCTTGCAAAGTGGTGCAAATAAGGATATGTTTTTTTTCTATTTGTGATGATGTATTAATGTACACAGACCATGAATTCCTAAATCATTACAGAAACAGATATTAAACCAATCCCACAATGGCCATCCAGGAATTTTGAAAATGAAATCCCTAATAAAAAGCTATGTTTATTGGAAAATATGGATCAAGACATTGAAAATAAGGTTAAAACATGTTGTAACTGTGAACTAGCAGCAAAATAACTGCCTATAAAAGTTGAACCTTGGCTGGAACTCTTCTCAAGATCTGGAAACCTTACATCAGACAATGGTACTCAGTTTAGATCTGGAGAATTTTAAAATATCTGCAAGATGTATGTGGTGAAACTTGTAGCAACTCCACCATATCATTCTCAATACAATGAACAAGCAGAATGCTTTGTCAACACTCTCAAAAGAGCATTAAAAAAAGCTAATGTGGGGCGGATGCATGAGGAAATGTTACAGCATTTTCTATATTTGTACAGACACCAAATCCTAACAACACGTTGAGGAAATCACCTGCTAATTTAATGTTCTTAAGAAAAACAAAGACTATATTGACTAAATTGTTTCTTGAATTATGAGGGAATAAAATAAAAAGAAAATTACAACCCTCTGAATTGGAGATAAGGTATTTTTTAAGAAATATCAGACAAGACAATAGCTGTGGGAGGACAGAGTGATATTTTGGCGAATTAATATACAGTGTAACTCGGATATAAGAGAGTTGTCGGGACTGGAGAAGTCTCTTATATCCGGGTTTCTCTTATATCCGGGTTTGGTCTATTTTGTTTAGGTAAGTATGGGCTCTAATTTGGGACCAGAGAAAATCTCTCTTATATCCGGGTTTCTCTTATATCCGTGTTACACTGTATTTGGAGATAATGTAAGGCAAACTCTCCCCTGCTTGACAGCACTACTGTTTGAACTCTTGTGTGACACATTTCAACTGCCCATGGCTACCATAACACCACATGAAGTGGGGTATTGGCACCACGGGTAGGAAAAAGAAAATGTACCAGCTAACTGGAGGAAGATCAAAATAAAAAAAGATATTAAGTAAGATTCATGAATAAGAACTAAAAGAGAGGTATTTACACTATTTACCTTGTTTGGACTGTTGTCCTCATCTTTGTTGTCATATTCAAGACCTGGCCTTATTCAGGTGATTGGAATTTCGAACTGAACCCTTTATTTTGTCTACTGGGGTAGATGAGGACAACAGTTTGAACAATGTAAATAGTGTAAATTATTACAATACTTCCTTTCAGAAATACAGACAGGTATTAAAAGGGAGGTGGGGATAGAGTAGGACTCTAGTGTACTTCCTGCTCTTCCCTTCTACTTTGACAATGGACTGCTCTTACTTATAAATATGGTAAATAATCACATTAGAGTAGGATTTGAGGAGTAGCTGATTTACTCAAGTTTTATTGTTGTATGTATGAGTATTTAATAAACTTCTCCTTCTATGTTTTCCCTACCTAGTCTTTTGTTCCTTCAATATTCTCTCTAACTATTAGCCTTCCTTGAACAAAGGCAGAATTACAAGAAATATAATCACTTTCTACATTAATGTCTACTTTTTACAACATTGAAGTTTTATAAAAATGATTATTTTAAACAATATTCTGTAAAATTGTATTTTTCCTTTTGTTACCAAATTTATTACCTGACATATATGACTAAATTCATAAATTGGTGCATCTTTTTTTTTTTTTTTTTTTTTTTTTTTTAAAAGCTTGCTATCTCTTTAGTAATGAAAATCCGTCTAGGTGGTAAAGGTTATGCTCCTGACCAAAATGACCCTCTGATGATGTACGTCAAAGGCTTGTCTCAGTTTGTAAATCTTTTACAAAGCCTTCATACCATCATAGAAGATGAACCAGATGTTAGGTGAGGAAAAGCATATATTTCTTGTTTTGCCAATATTCATATGGGACCATTGTTTATTTTAAACATAAGGAATATATTCAATTATTTATGTGTAACCAGTGTTGACAAAGATGAAACAATGTTTGCCGCTTCATTTTTAAATTTACAAATGACATCAAAGGAACAGGTAACTTGTAGTAATGTAAAACTTGTTTGCTCTATATTTTCCTCATTAAACAGAATGTTTTGATTGTTAACTGAAGACATATATACATATTCAAAACTTGTTGTACATAGTAGTATCAAAAAATGCTCCAAATGAAATGTAATATAAGAACTACTTTTTTTCCTGTTAATGCTACAAAGCCAACCAGAACTAAGGCTCTGTATTGGTAGAAACATGCACAAGGCTATATTACATAAATGTAATAAAATTAATTGTTTATGTTAAGTCTTATCCCAAAATAAAAAAAATTTGATTATAAAATTTACTAAAAAATAACAAGGTCATCTGTCAGGAGGCCCTATAAAATCCATACTCCACAGTTTCCATCTGACTTGTAATAATAATGTCTCATCCATTATCCAGTATGAAGGATCTTTTTCATGGCATTATTAAAGTTCAATGCCACAAATCTGATTCTGTCATTGATCACATCCAATATCCTGCTTCTGACACCTTCTCCTAGGCTGGTTGCCAACTGTGACTAGAAAGTTCAGTCTGCCTTACTATTTAACCCATAGCTGGTGGGGAGAAGGGATGGATTCATACCTTTGCCAAGGTTCCATTTTACTAAAAATTAACATTTCCTCTGTAATTTTGTGCTACCATATCATAATTTTTGTTTCAGTTCTAAAATTAGATCATTGACTGTTGATTTAATATTTCTGCATGGAATATACAGATGAACTTGCAATATTTTTATCTATAATTCTCAAAATGTGTGTGTATGTGCATGTGATCAGATGTTTATCCGTTTTCACAGTTTTCAACTGATTTCGATGAAATTTTTTTTGTTTTGATAGATAAGTTTCAGTGCTGGTTTTGAGTCCAAATTACACATTCCCCTTCTCTTGGCCAAGTTTCAATCGATCTCAAGTGAGGTTAACTTTTCTGTTGCATAAAGCCTACCACTACAATTTTAAGGTGTTGCTTTCATTGTTGTTTATAGCCATTCACAATTTAAATTTTTTTATTGACCTGCCAGTTTTTGATTTGCATTCACTGTACTAATAAGTAAGTTTGCTTTTCTATTACTCAACATTTATTTTTCTAACCTTTCCTAAAGTTATTTGAGCTTAGTGATCCCTGTAGCTTTACAGCGTTCACTTCTGGTATTTGTCCACGCATTCCATTTGACAATTCATACTTGCCAAAGACATGCCACCAAAGAAAAGAACTTGTCTAGGTCTCAAAACCGCTGCCACCAGGTCCGCCATGCGAATAAGAGATAACAAATTGTCTTTAGAATGTTCAGTTCGCCTGTCTCAAAATGCCTCTCAGAATGCTTCAATCAGATCCACTGAGTCCAAAGTTCAACGTAGCCATTGGCTTTCCAGAAGAGCATACCTGAATGCTTCTGTGTATGAGGCTGAAAATAATGATTGAAGCACACAACGGCTGAGGAGAAATGCCACTTCAACTGCTGCTGCACATGAGGCTCAAACAAGATTGAGAACACAAAAATGGCCCCTTTTCAGCCCCCGCTTCAAATTATTATCCCCCATTTGGAGGTGTGTCTCAGTTACACCCAATTGTTGTTACTAATATTGATTTTTGGGTGGGCTGCTTTAAACTTAAACTGCTTCAATTGAATGGTAAAAATTCCCAGTAATGAAAGACCCAGTCAAAGATGGGTTATACTGCTAGAAAGTTCTACATCATAAAAATAGAAAGTAAATTTTGTTTGTTTTACAGAAAATTAAGAATTAATATTTTCATTATAAATTTTCTTCCATTTATTTTCTAATTGATTTATGGAATTCTTTTCTTGGCAGATTGGCATGCCAGCGAGTTGTCAAGCTCCTCAAGAACACAATTTTGAAGAGCAGAGAGAGTTTATCTCGGAAACCAGCTGTAGAAGAAATGGCAGAAAAAATTAAAGAAGATATCAAGACTGTACATAAAGAGATAGAATTAAGGCTACAGAACAAATTATCTCTGGTGAGATTCTCAATTAAACTATTTTTATTTCTTTAATTTTGTTTTATGTTGCTCTCAATAATCTGATATTCATAAATATAATCTTATTAATTCTGTTTAATCAAATGACACTATTTGTTTTAAAACAAGACGTTTAGAACATCAGTGATATAATGTGACAAGACTAAAATGAAGTCATTATTATAGCCAAATTCTACAAAAATGCATCACAAGTCATTGACAAGAAATGATGTGCAATATACAACATTTATGCTAATTATCATTGGACACTAACTGACTAGTCTGCTTATAAAAAAAAATATAACTAAAAAGAGGGAAAAACTTTTTGGGGTGGAGGGGAATTTTTGTAGATTAGCATTCCTTAGACCTTCCTCAATCTGCGACAATGCAAATCATACAACAGTATATGAGTGCACCTCAATAATATCTAGAAGACCAGAGCCTCTTGATAGCCCTAAAGTGTCTATACAGCCATGTAGGTGATGAATTATTTTCCACCTAACAACCCCCTTTTCAACAGACAAGACATTGCAGGTCTTTTGCTACTCTTTTTCTACTCTATTGCTATTTCTGTGGAAAATATTCAGATGAGCTACATTTTTTAGTCCCTCCAACTCTATCTCTCCCAGCTAAGACCTGCCACACTGTAAACATTGAGGTAAACCACTCCCTTTGTATTCCATTAATAAGGAGTAAGATCCACTCAGATAGCTTCTCAAGAACTGTTGTTTTATGAAACAGAATCTCAGGAGGATGCTGTTCCAATCACTACAATCTTAATCTTTTTAAGTCTCGGGTGAACTGTTGCTTTTCACATGTATTCTCATAAACTCTGCCCCTTACTCTTAGTGCTCACACAACAATTGCCTTCAGCAACCTTCTATCTTGTATAGGATGAATATTAGTAAAAGAAAAAGTAAAATGACATTTTATCAGTCTCAAAAAAATATTTAATTTTTTTTTCTTTTATCAATTTAGATTAGTTATATAAAACTCTGGCTTTTTAAAGAGTTATCTGTACTTTATTTATATTTTCTTAAAATATATATATATATATATATATTTTAAATAAAAACAGACCACTTTAAGGTTCCATGCAATAAATTATTTCACCACAGCCCTTTTAAAGGACTGTGGATCATCCGCAGTCCTTTAAAAGGGCTGTGGTGAAATAATTTATTACATGGAATCTTAAAGTGGTCTGTTTTTATTTAAATTATTTGCTCTGGATGTACATTGAGCTCTCTGGATTTTATCCTCCTTAGGTTTACCCATACGGATTACCTAATTTTTTTCATAAACTAAATAAAGATATCTATATATATATATATATATATATATATATATATATACACATTTATTATTTATTAAAAATGTTCTTTTGTAAAAAACATAAACCAAATGTTTCACGAGAACATATTAAGAATAGGACATCAGTCATATGCAGATATCAATGACATAAACTTGATATTTGTAAATAAAAACAAGTACAGATAACTTTAAAATGTCGGGGATCTATTTGACGCTGTATTTATATTATGAATAGGAATCACATTCTAAATTAATAAAAAAATCAATATCTTTTTTTTATTCTGAAAAATATTGTAGCTTGAGGAATGTCTAATAAATGCTAATCTACAAAAATTATTCCATCCAAAAATTTTCCTATTTTTTTTTTTATGAGTGGACCAATCAATTTAAGTAGTGCCATTCATTGTCTAAAATACAGCTTATTCATAAATTCTTTCCGTGTTATATATATATATATATATATATATATATATATATATATATATATATATTTTCAGTCATCTATAATCTATTAATCATAGTGCTGAAAAATATTTTTTAAATAATAAAAATGTTTTTGATACTATTAAATAGAATATGTACATTAATAAAATCTTTACAATAATGCAGCTTATATCAAACATCCTTTTATAATATAGACATCAAATGCTTATAAAAGCTAATAATTTTCTATAAATTTTCAGCCAACAAATCAAAGGGGTTCAAAGTATAAATGCAAAACTTTGCAAGTATTGCAAGCTCTTTTGGATCAACATGTAATAAACACAAGTGGAACGAGTGACGTCAGCATCCTCTCTGATGTTTTCCTTACCCAAGGAACACCCCTCCGTTTTCCATCACTTCTCTCTCAGTTCAGGTTGGTTCACTAAACATTTATATCAACATAGGAACATTAAAAGAAAATGGTCTTATGAACTTTTTAGTTAATAGGCTTGTTCACATTTGAGTCTTTTCTGATAATTATTTTCTTGTGGGTTGATTTAGTTATTAATCCACAGTATTTATAAAATCAACATTTCAGCCTTTTTTTTTTTTTTGATTTTTTGTATTCAGTTGGAAAGAAAGCCCTGTTCCATTTTTTGATGTATGATCGTTTTGAGGTTACCTTTTCAATACAGTAAACTAGCCATTCATTTTTACATTCTAAGATTTGAATGAGTTTAATATTAAACCCATCTCAGAAACTTTGATGTATAAATTCAAAAAGGGCTCTTTGGCAATGAAAGCACTGAGAAATATTCATTCTCACTATGGAAATGAAGCTGTTCAGACATGACAGTGATGCGTCTGGCTAATTTCATTTGAGAAATTTTTCTTTTGAAGATTTGCCTTTATCTGGATGACCAAATTCTGTCAATACTGAACTTCTGCAAACCACAGTTGAAGAAAATCCTAAGCAAATTGCATGAAAATTAGCAAAACACTTTAATACAAGTTGCTGTTCAATTAATAAACACCCTCATTAAATCTATAAAGTATTTAAACTTGATCAGTGGTTCTCTCATCATCTGACTGCTTCTTGACCTAATCAAAGAGCTGCCTTCTCTTTGTCATTGAAGAATAAACTGAACATTTCCTGCATAAGATCATCATTAGCCCTAATAACTGTGTGGTTATAGCTGAGCACTTGACCAGCTCCATCCATATGTCTCATTTGTGTGTCAATGTCTCTCTCTCTCTCTGATTTTCCAGTCCATTTGGTGATCTTTGCCCATTTTTTCCTGTTTGCCTTTTCTTCTTCCTAAGGTGGTATCTTTTAGGATGACAGTAGAAAGATTGGTAGTTCTTATGATGTGGCCATATCATTGCAACTTCTTCCTTTTGATGATAGATATTTAAGAGTAACCATGCTACTGAACTTTTCCTGGGTAGAATCATTACCGGTGAGGGGTTCTATATTTTCATATGCAATAACAATGGTTAGCACCAATTGTAAAATAAGAATCTATCTCCATATCAAGATTACAATGGTTAATGTGAAGAAGTATTGTTGTCAGTTGTAAGAACTGCACAAAAATTTACAGAAAAAACACATCATTGGTTAATTGTAATGGTGTATTGCTCTTACATGTTAATGCAAGATTGTGGCCTGAGTTACTCAAGAAAGGATTATGGTATTAAATATGGAAATTTGGCCTCATCTTCCTTAATCTACTAATCTTGCTACATCTTTTCAAATCATTGCAACATTTTTTTAAAAAGAAATTTAAGAGTGAAAACTGTTTATTAATTGTGAAGAGGTTAAAACTGATATTGAGTGTTTGTATGCAGTGGCATGTCAAGGTCTTGGTTTAAGTGGGGGCAAGAGCTTGACTCTGTGCCCAACCACAACCATTGGCCAAAGAAGCTGGTGTGGATTTTTAGAAATACAAATATTTCTTGTGATTATTGACAAATACAAATATAAATACAGGTAAGTTCCTTCCAGATTCCAAAAATACAAAAACAAATACAAATACTCCTGAAACTAAGCTAAAATGTAAGCATAAATGTTTCTTCACACAAATACAAATGCTCTGAAAAAGTATTTAAATACAATTCAATTATATTTTTATTTGATCAGCCACTACCAACAAGCACTGCATTGACAAAACCTGAATTAAAAGATGTAAAGACTAGAGCCACTCATTTCATCTATTTGAATTCATAGAGACATGATATACAACCAGGCTTGGTGGTCAAAAATTTGTCAGTAACACCATCCACAGTGTTCCTGACCCATTGTGCTTCAGAGATAGTTTTTATCAATTTTAGTTTGCTGAAAGAGCACTCACAGGATGCCACCGAGACAGCAACAGCCAACAGTATGTGCAATGCTATTTGTAAATTGGGGAACACATCATTGCTGTAAGATATTGTGAAGTTGGAAAGCTTGATTGGGGTTTTTGGTTTAACCAAGGCACTGTCTTTTCTTTTTGTATTAACATTCGGCAGTCTGTAATTTATTGACCAAGTTCTATTTCATTAAAATCACCCTTGTATTTGCATTTTTCTACTGTGTCTTTGCTTGAGTCAATGAGGCTTTTGATATCCAAGAGGAATCCAAAATTTCCTACATTTTTCAACCGATTTCAACAAAACTTCACAGGACTACGTAAAATTACCTTGCGGTGGTTCTGACAGTGCCAAAAATTGGAAAAACACAATTGTTTTTGCATGAAATCAATTTGAAAACACAATTAAGAGGCATTAATGGAAGGGGGACAACTCATATCGAGTTATACTTATTAATATCGAGTTATCCTTATTATAAAACCCAGGTTGGTTGTTTGTGTGTGTGTTTGTTTATATATGGGATTGGATTTTCTAGTTTTCAAACGATTTCAACAAAACTTCACTTTTTTTTTGGCAGGTAGTGTTTCTTATTGTCTTGCACACTTTTCTTTATTTTTACATTCAGAATGCTTTAAAAATTCCATTTACAAGACAATTGTTTATAATAAAATTCTATTCAATCAGTAGACTCATAACGATTGAAAACAATGTTTTTGTTTGAGTTTGGGTTTGACCAATTCGTAAAAAAAACAAAACAAAAAAATAAAACTAATTAAGACATGCGTGTCCGTCAACCTTAAACAATAATCTTTGTCAATTTTATTTTTCAGTCTTTATGATGGTTGATACTTGATCTATCTCTTACTGTTACATCCCCAGGCAACGCCGGGCTCTACTGCTAGTTTTTAATAGAGTACAACAACCAACTATGCAGATTCGTTGATCTATCCTGTAGTTTTCTTTGAAACCAGTAGTTCCTGAATCTTCAATTGACACCCACATTTTGTGCTTGTTTCACTTCTCATTGCTTCTTCAACACATCTGCTCTCAATAACTTCCTGATCTTTTGTAATTTTGAAAGGGCTATCTTTGTTCCTAAAAAAGCTTTAGCACACATCTTCACTGTTTTGTATGCATAGATCGTCAGAAATTTGTGCAATTTACATAAATCTTTTCGCATTAATACCTTGTATATACAGCATGTTATATCCAACACTGTGTTACAATAAGATCATCATGTCTAAATATTTCATATATTCATTGAAATACTATAATCTACCAATTGAAGCAAGGCGAAAAATTACCATTATCATTTTACAAAGAAATGCTGGGTTTACCATCCCAGGAATACTTCTTAAAACATTAATATAGATTAGTTTTCAATCTGGTCTCAACCGAGGGAAAATAGAATTAAACAGCACTTTTTGTTGTTTCTTCAACACATTTCACGTTTTGGCTGGTATGCACTTCTGTCTGCACTGTGCATGATCAAAGAACTACTGAGCACTGTTGCCAAAATAATTCATGAGCTGTTCGTACTGTTAATGAAATAGGTATGTGTGGGCTGTCACAAAAAGGATATTAAAGTAAATAAAAAGGAGGAAATTTTAGGTCCTCTTTCACCACTTTTTGAATTAATTTCCCGATATTTTCACTTATAAATATGTTAAAACTTGGCCTACTCTAACCTAAATTGGTCTTAATTTTTCATCGCATCTAAATAAGTTTGGTTAGACTGGGTCTAGTTTGGCAAGATTTTTTTTACACATGTTGTTTTTATAAAAATATTGGAAGTGGAACATTTCTCTTGCAATTCACTCCCAGTCTTGGCAATAAACTTGCCAATTGCGATTTTGTGCCCCATGATGGTGCATCCTGGGGCAGCTGCTTTTGCCTGTCCCTATTATGTTCTGCCACTATATGCATGCATTGAAATATGAAGAATCTTTTAAATCTTGATCTACTAAATAGATGGGATTATGTTACTGATAATATTTTCTTGATTAAATATGTCATTTAAGACCAAATAAGATTTTGTTTCTTTTCTATGCTTAAATACAACAGGACTTTCTTTCCTGTCTAATATATTGTTTTGGATAATAGTGTGTCATTTAGTACACGTTTTTTTTCTTTGTTTTTTTTTTGTTTTTTTTTTAATAAAGCATCTTTATAAAGAACAGCTTAGAGTTCTGGGTATCAAAACCCCATTAATATGGGGAAACTCTCAAGTCAGAATAAAAATCTTGTAACTAAGGCAAGATTTTTGTCTGGTACATTTCTACTGTTTGAAATATGTAAATACCGCATTGATCATGAGAAAATATCTTTGAAATAAGGAATATAATATTGTTTTTGTTGATTTTGAAAATGCTTTTTCAGGTCTCCAGAGCAAGATGCAAGTGCTGAAAAGATTCAGCCTTTGACAGAACGTTTATCGGAACATAAAAGTAATAAACAGGTAGATTTCTTTAATCATTCTTTAAATTGGAGGTCTTAAAATTAAACCTTATCTTGTACTATACTCTAGTATAGGGACAAAATTTTATAGATGATGGAAAAATAATAAATCATTTCTAACTTTATTTTTATTTTTTTTTAAAATAAATATTTTGGAATTAGGATTCTATAAAATTTGCTAATCATTAATTTCTCTTGCTTTTTACCTGAACGTTCTGATCTCTTATTGTATGACCCTTCATTTGAATATGTTGAAGGCAATGACCGACTTCATAAAGAAAGTGGGTTTATAGTCCAAAAATATGAAGTTCCGACTAGATATTTGTCATTTAAGAATTATTGAATATATATATATATATATATATATATTTATGTATATATAAAAGAAGAGAGAAACTGCAAACGTTTTTGGTTGTAATGTGAATTTTTTTAAAAAAAATATATTATGCTTTATTTTCCATAATTTTGTAATGTGTGCTTCAGGTCTCATGACCTTCTTCAGGCAGTGAGAAAGTTCTTCTGCTTGAAGGGTAATAAAACAATTACGATTGATCCAAGAAAGGGTGAGGTAAGATATCTGTATTCTTATCTTTTAATGATCCCTGTGTGTTCTTAGATCTATTTCCAATTTTTGTATGTGTGTGTTTTTGTTAGTATGTATATGTATATTCCCTTTCCATGCATACATACTGTCTTATTATAAGGAATTAGTATACACATATATACATACATACACACTTCCTATGTTGTGTAGGGTTTGTGTATGTGCTTGTGAGTAGTTTATTTCTTTTTGTCAATAAGTGCATATATATTTGTGCTCCACATATAACTGTGTGAGTGCATGCACATGCATGTGAGTGGTTTGACCACTGTATTTGGCAACCATGTGTGCATGTTGTGTGTGTGGTTATGATCTATTTAGTGCTGGTTTAAATTGTTTATGAAGTTTTTTTTTCTTGTATTTGTAGGCAAGAATAATTGTCTGATATATTGGCATAATTTTAAATTCACCCTAGTTACATTTATTGATGTGTTGTAATACAAAGAGTTTTCTGTTCTCTGGTAATTTGATTTTGCTTTTGTGGAGCGAAACTCTGTTGTTAGCTGATACCTATATATGACTTTGTGCATTTGAGTGCATAAATCACATTTTTGGAGTTGCAGTTTAAATTTTTATTTATTATGAATGTCGTTTTGGGGTTTTCAAAAGTGTCGGAGTTTCTTTCTGTAATGATGTCACAAACCCCACATCATGTTTTTTTTGTTGCATTTTGTGACTCCCTGTATTATGTGTTGGTTAAAATTGGATGAGGTTAATAATGTTCAGGTTTTTTGATTGGTATTTGCTTTTAATTATTTTTAGTATATTTTTCATTTCATCATTCTTGCTAAGTAGGTCTAGATTTTTTGTAAATAGTCCTGGATTGTTCTTGTATGTTAAGACTTATGCTAGAGTTTGTTCAACGTTATGTTTCTTTGGGTTTTGTAGTTAGTCTAAAGGAATTTTTTTTGCGAGTTCAAAACATTTTTTTTTTTTTTTTTAGAGTTCTATGTAGTTCTAGGTGAGTTTTTTGGGGGTGTTTGTCAGTCACTATAGTACAAACCCTATGTGCTAGAGAATAGGGGATTGATTTCGGCCAGCTTTTTGGGTGATGGCTCTTGAAATAAAGATATTGTTGGGTGTCTGTGGGTTTGTGGTAGATATCTGTGATTATGTGGTTGTTTCTATTTCTAATGAGTATATCTAAAAATGGTAATACATTGAAATTATATTCTTGGGTGAATTTGATTTTTGGTTGTAAGTTCTGAAGTAGTGTGTGGAATTGGTTAATTAAGGGTTTCCAGAAAATGTAGCAATCATCTAAGTATTGTTTCCAGGATTTAGTGTAGTGGGTTTTTATATTTTCCCCATATATTTGTTCTATCTCTTCATAGAGGTTTTTCTCTAGTTAAGCTAATGTTAGGGGAGCATATGTTGGTGCCATTTTTGTTCCCATTGTGATACCTAGGTTTTGGATATCATTTTTGTTGTCAAATTCAAAGGTGTTAGTGTTTAGAATCAGGTCTATGTTATCAATAATGAATTCCTTAGTGACTTTGGGATGTAGTGTTTCTGGATGTTTTTCAATCCAGAATGAGATTGCCGGTTTACCTAATTCATGGCGTATGTTGTTATATAGGCTACTAATGTCAAAAGTTGCCATAAGTGTTACTGGATTTACTTTTTGTGGTATGGAGCTAAGGAAGTGAATATCGTCTCTGATGTAGCTTTTAATCTGCTTAGTAAATGGTTGTAATATTGTGTCTATTAGGTTACTGTGTTGGACAGGCTTGTCCTGCTACTATGGGTCTGAATGTAAGGTCACTGGGGTTTATGATGCTAATGTATTCAGATTTTTGTGTTTGGATAGCTGCTTTTATTTTGTGAATCTTTGTTAGCCCATAGAAATTGCTTGTTTTTTGGTATAAAGTTTATATATATATATATATATATATATATATATATATATATATATTTTAAAAATATATATTCATTGCAACACAGAAATTACCATGTTTCGGAACTAAAAAGTGAAGCTAAAATTAAAGTTTTTGTTCCATTTTCAAGTGACGTTGAATAACTTACAAAAAAATGATTTACTGTTTTAAGTAATAGTATTATATAGTTTAAGTTGGAGGGGGAGAGGGATTACAAAATTTTAAAAGGATGTCTTTTTTGATGAATGAGAATACAAGTCTAATTTAAGATGGCAAAGTGTAAATATAGGTCAAGGGTTAGGGGTGAGTTTGTAATTTCTGCCTGTCGATACTGGCTTCCTTATATGAGGACGTTTTCTCCTGTTTTTTTCTGTCTAGTTTTGTCGTGGCCATTTGCAATTTGGAATACCATGTCTAAGATTTATTACTGATACAGTAATTGTAGCACAAGGCCAAAAAAAGCGTGGAGACTAGTCAAGGTTGGTTATCACTAGCTATCTTATACCTAGCTAATCAGATTCACGACCCATTCATTTGTTACAATATATTCATTCGCCATAAGAATTTATCCATCACCCTTCGCTACTTTCATACACCAAAATACCTCACACACACACTGTGAACAAAAACCACTCCATAAGTTAAAAATCTCAATGTGTACAATTGTGTATAAAATATATATAAAAATTTTATCAATGAAATGATGGGGCGGGTGTGGATGATAACCCCAAAAAAGAAAGAATGATGTTAGTGGGACCTGTCCACCCCACAAAAATAAGAGTGACTGCTGTATTCTGTCTGTCAAAAAAATCAAAAAGCTCTCTCTAAAAGAGAGGGAAAGGATAAAAAAAATTATGGGCATAAGAAAATTCAAAAACTGACCCAGTCGAGATGAAAAGGGAGGGCCAAAATAAACTGGGGAGGTTGGGAATCTTGACTTGGATCATAACAAAAGCAGAAGCCGAGAACAACACTTACTCACATTAACTAGGTACACTTGGAAGAGTCTATCTTAACCAGGGGAGGGCTACTCAGGGAAACTGCCCTGTTGTGACTTAGGGAGACTTAAAAAAAGAAAATCAAGTCTAGCCCCGTTCAGGCAAACCATATCTGGGCTGAATCGACTCAATCCTCACTATCCAGCCTTGATAGAATTCAAAATCATTTATGTAGTCTTGTCAGGGAAGATTTATTTTCCACTCTTCCGCCTCTTTCCTATGGACACAATGTTGCAGGCCTATTGCTACTCTATTAGGATAATTTGGAGTCAAATCACCCACATGGTCCTCTATATTCCAAATGTTCAGATGAAGCTCAATTGTTACTTTATGGAACAGACTCCCACTTGGATGTTTCCCTGAACACAATTTTAACCTCTTCAAGTCCAGGATCTGTTGTTATATAGTTTTTTTATCCTCATAATATTCACTTCTTACTACTTCCTCTTACATTCATATTACACAATAACTTAAGCGGCTCTTGAACATAATTAAAAATGACATGGAATGACTCAGCAAGAACTGAAATGTTAAATTTACTAACCTTACCTAATTTTGATTGAGCAGCATGGATGGGAAGATTTAAACTTTCATCCCTTATCCATAGGAGCCTTTCTTTGGTTACAGTTTTTGTTACATGTTTGGATATAAGAACTTTACCAGCAGATATAAAACTATTGAGTTGTTACATGCATATATTGCTTACCTCTCTGCTAGTTACTATACAGCCAGATGGTTTTTATTTTTGGCTGAATGGTTGGGTAATGTGGAGGAGAGTGTGGAGAAGTTTTCTTATTTAATTTTATTGACTTTAAGTCTTCATTTTTGAATGTAAGTGTAATCATCTTTTGCTTGCCTAAATAGTCTGACCAAAATTTAGACTGATTTGTATGCATATCTTGGACATTGCCACATTTTCAGAAAAATAATGTTAATTCTCTGCTTGATTTTATTCTGATAGAGGATATTTGAACTTAGTATACTAAAACTTAATAGAGTGCCACTTGGTACATGATGAATGTCATTGTAAAAAAAAAAAATAATATTATTAGATGTAATAGTTAATTTCTTCAATAAAACTTTGTCAATTATTAATTTCTGACAATGCTTCCTAAAATTTGTAAAAGTTTTTTTAAATACTTCTTCTTTGTTAAAATGTGACAGACAGTAAATAATTACAATAAGAACTAAAAATAAAAAATAAAAGAAGACTCTTATCTGTTTGTAAAAAATAGTATTCTTTGAAACACATGAATTTATCAATTTAATGACTTGTTTGTTATCAGATTTGCTTCAATTCTAAACACTTTTGCATTTCAGATAATACCACATCATAAATCTTGCATGAGTTGGGTTACTCCTTCAATGAATGAACACATTCCAGTGACTAATGTTGAATATGTACAACCAAGGTGAGAATATTCTTTTGGTGCTGGATTATTGAAGCATTAATTTTAAACTCTGGCTAAAATGTATTTAATTAGGGTATACTTCACCACCCCTGCAAAAAAAAAAAATTTCTATACAATTGTTTTTAACTTTTCAGCCATAACTTTGTATGTTTTGAGTTTACTATTGAAAGTGAGAGAGATAAAAGCTATTATAAATTCATATGTCTGATATTATTGAAAGATAAGCTTAAACTGTAAGGAGATGTATGGTAATGTTTGACTTTTGTACCCACAAAAAATTGGTGTGTCAAAAAAGGATGGTTATTCCCTTTACTTTTACTGTATACACTTTTGACTCTGTTGGCAATGTTTGATTTAAAAAGTGATCAAAATTTAAATAAAACCTAACTATATGAAAGTAGATTTATCCATTGTGCCATATGTCCTTGAGGACACATGCCACAGTGGATAAAGTTGCAAGTTAGATCCAGTGACAGGACCCAAAGAGTGTGAGTTCAATACTTGGTTAAGGCAGTGGAGAACTTAGGGAGGGGAATTAACAGGAGATAACTGATAGCTGACATCCATTAGAACATGGCACATGGGACTAGAACAGTCTACCCCAGCGAGTGAAATAAAGAGTTCAGTTTGACATTTCAACCACCTGAAGAAGGCCAGAGTGTACAGCAGCCAAAACATGATAAATATGGCAACAAAGATGAGGACAATAATAATCAGTAAATAGTGTACATAATACCTCATCTCAGAAATATAGACAGATACCATAATGAGTAAACTGTAATTATCAATTTTTAAAAAATGCATTTTTTGGACATTTTTTTTTATTTGCTTTTGCCACAAATTCACTAAACAGGTTGAAAGCATCTCTCCCTTTTACATATTTTGATAATTTTTTTTTTATAAATTTTTGAATAAAAAGATTACATTTCAAATTTATTTCTTTATAAAATGGTAAATAATAAGTTGCAAGTGCTAACTTTTGATAATGTTATTCCAGTATTTGCATGATTTACCTTGTTTGGACTGTTTTTCATTTTTTTTTTTTTTTTCATATTGGCAACAAAGATGAGGGCAACAATCTGAACAATTTAAATAGTGTAAATAATTAACTCATCTCAGAAATATAGACAGATGTTGCTCCAGTAGTTTGCCATCAATGGTGATGCTGGCAATGCTGTTGCTTGTGCTATTTACCATTACTTTGGATTTCTCTGTGTTGAGTTCCATTCCATATGCGCTGGCTCTTTCAACTAGTTTCTTGGTCAGGTTTTGCAGACTTCTGTTACTGTTTGCCATAAGGTCAATATTGTCTGTGAAATGTAGGTTACAGACAGGTCTACTACTGATAGATAGGAGTGTTGTGGTGGTTTTCCTGCATAGTTCTCTCTTGAAACAGGTTGGAGGGTGTTGGGGGGGAAAATAGGCATCCCTGTCTAACACTGATAGTTGTCTGGAAGTTACTCAAGAGTAATGCGCTAGTGGCATGGCCATAGAAGGTCGTCTGGGTGACTAGCATGAGCCTTTCTATGTTGAATCCTTTGAGGATGTGTCAGAGGCCATCAAAGCATACCTGATCAAATGCTTTGTTGAAATCAATGAAATTATTGAACAAGTCCCTCTGGTTTTGCAGATGTTTCTCAATGAGGACCCTACAATTGAAGATTTTTTTCACTGTGCTCTTCTGACAGTAGTTCTTTAGCCTTAGATTTCAGACAGTTGAGGATAATATGGAGCATGGTACCCATTGCTGGGGTGGCTGATTCTGCTTATTCTATAATTCTGGCATTGCTTGGATTACTCTTCTTTGGTAGGGGTACCATCAGTGACTGGGTCCACTCTGGTAACCACTTCTTCTTTTCCCCAAATCTGCTAGCATAAATCCTTGACAGTTTCTTCACATACATTTTTTTAGCACTTCACAGGATACATTGTCCATTCCAGGTAACTTACCAGGTTTCAGGCCCCTTACTGTCATTTATGACAGCTGCTCTTGGATGGTTAGTCTTGGGGAGGGATTTGAGGGTATTATAGGCCTTCTTGCTGTCACCTGATTTCGTTCCCTTCTCAATGGCATTTCTCCTCTATCCACTCCTCTTTGACTGCTTGTAACTTCTTCCTGACCCTCTCTGTCCACATTTTAGTACTGTCTGAGCTTCATCACTTGAATGATTTTTTTCCTCTTAGCTATCACTTCTTGTCACACAAATTCGGGACTTCTTTTATAATCCATGGTTGAATTTTCTTCTGTGGCTTTTCCAAGAACCTCTTCAACTGTAGGACTTCTTTAATGTTGAATGTCTATCTTGCTGTCAAGCAGGTTGAGGGCTGCTGTCTTGAGCCTGAAAAACTGTGATGTCAGTATCCTTCAGCTTCTCAAGGTCAAAGTGGATGCAGGTCCTCTTAGGGCAATGCTTAGTTTTCAACTTCAGCTTGAAGGTTGTTATCATAATGTTTGCACCAGAGAATGTCCTTGTTGGTGCTAGACTTGAAGCACTGTGGAACCAGAATGAAATCTAATTGTGGACTTGTCCATTAGATGTGCCAGGTTTGGTTTGAGTTAGCTTATGGAGGTGTAGTGTTGGCCAAGGTCAGGCAGTGACTTCTGGCAAACTCAAGCAGTCTAAGGTCCCTGTCATTGGTTTCCCTGTTATTGCTTAGTTCTCATATACACTTGGCTCTACTTTGGCATTCCAATCCCTTTGTGCAATGATGATTTTATATGTATATTATTTTGTAATTGAAATCTAACTTCTATTTTGAAGTGCAAAGAAAATCATTACTAAAAAGAAGTTGTCAAAAATGTCATTACCATCTTTGACAACATTTTCTTTTTTTTTTTTTTTTTTTTTTTAGTAATGATTTTGTAAATTAATTATATATTTAGTGGTAGATATAAAATGGATCCCTAAATGCAAAAAATGAAGTCATTAAGTAATGGCTTTGTGCCTATGGTCATGATAAAACTAAAATAAAACTTTTAGCCACTTAAACATATGCACAAACTGAAATTACACCAGTAATTCTAAACTTGCTAAAAAATCAGAATAAAACTGTTTTTAGTAAGATTAATTATTTAAATATAAAACACTCATTTTGTTTTTATTTATTCCAAACAAATGTTTGTGCAACTTATTTACTAGCCAAAGGAGGGAATAAAACCAATAATTAGTGAGTGAAACCTGCTTATCAGGTTGTGTCAGATATACTGAAATTATATTGCTGATTGGAAATAATTGAACAAGGGAAACAAAATGAAGTTTATTCGATAGAAATGTTAGTCAAAATGCCACTAAAGTAAAGGTTTTAATATTTAAATTAATATATTCTTCTGAATGAGACAGATTTGTTTGTATAAATGGTGGGATTTTAAAGTGCCATAAGGAACATATAAAATTCAGGTTTTTTTACTCAATAAAAAATACAACTCAATAAAACATAGGATATTGCTTAAAAAATTGTCATAGTATAATTTTATTTGCAAAATAAAGTGTCATTGAAATAACAAAAATTGTAGAACTGAGAATTCAAGAAATTATGATGTAATTACATAAATGCACAGGAAATATGGATTTTTTTTTTTTTTTTGAAGATGCTAATTTCATGTAAAGTTTAATGAGGTGGAAATTAGTCATTGTTTTATGTAGTGAATGTCCAGTCACTATTGCTTGAGGCTTTTGTTTTGTTTTTACTTGCAAATGCATCAACATGAAAGTGTCAATTTTGTTTTGTGCTTTGTACCACATAAAGAGTTGGAAATTGTCAATTGCTGCTTTATTAACGGGGGTTGCAGAAAGTTTCAGTATTTGAATTTCTTTACCTATGTATTAAAATACTTTCAATGCAGTTTAAAGAGGCTGAATGTCCTTTTTCTTGCAAACACCAATTGACGCATCACTTTTAGGGATGCTAAGTACTAGGGACAAAATTGTGAAATTAAATAATCACTGATTTGTTATATATGTAAAAATAATCACAATTTGCATGCAAACCTTGGTATTTTTTTCTTTTTAGGTTTGTAAACTCATCAAAAATATAGCTTTTAAATATGTTAATTTATACTGAAAATATTTAAGTCAATATATAATTTCACTTATTCAGTTAGAAAATGATTCTAGAACTGAATTTTTTCTTGATTGTTTAGTAGAGATTCTTAAATCATTTTGGAAAAAAAAAATCACATTTCATAAACAAAGTTTAACATTGAAAACTGATTTCTAATATCATGCATTAAGGAATTTCTTGGTTTTCATGAGTAAAATTAAGCCAAATTTTTCTTATGAGAATTAGAACTGTAATTGCAGGTTTTCTTTTTAAAGAACCAACTTAACTCCCCACCACACCCAATCAGTATTTCTTCAGTCAACCTATTGAACTTACCAATATGCATTTATTTGTATAATGCTTTGGTGTTTACTTACTAAAAATGACGTATAATTTTCAGTAAGTAGACTAAGGTTGCCTATCTAAGCAAACATTTATTGCTCTTCATGGCTGATTTGTTACACAGGCAGCTTAGAAATGTTTTGGGATAATCAAGAAGTGGCCGGGTTTCAATGTTTAACAGTTTAAACTTTTGAGCAAAAACTGCTTTTGTTTGATAACAAGTTTGTTTCTTATATATAACTGAAGTGTATAAATATTTGTTGTTTCTTAGTAAACTAAAAATATTGGTTATTTTGTAATGATTAATTTAAAAACACATTATTACATTATCAGGCAATATAATCTAAACATTTTTTGTAGCAGGACAATCTACAAAGTTTCTTTTTTGTTATGAAATATTGATGAGCAATCAATTGAACAAATTTTACTTAGTTTTTGTAATATGATATTTTTGAAGAGTAACTGTTGAACCCACCCCCAACCTTCTTTTGATGTTTTTATTTTTGTTTCCAGTACAACACTTGTATGTCCAGCTAGTAGCAAGAAAATCTACACAAGTTTCTCCATAAATGAGAAAGAAAATGTCCCAAGTAATTTTCTGTCCACAGATAACAAAATGCAGTCTAAAGAATGGAATCAGAGTAAAGAAAAAGGATTCAAAGAAAAAGAAACCAAACGAAAAAAAGCTGTGATAAAATCTGATTTACCTAAAAAGAAATGTTGCAAAAGGTTGTTGCCTCAAATTAAAGGACAAACAACTCTGAATTTCTTCATAAGAAAATGATTTTAATTTCTTTAAAGAACATATCAGGTTCTAAGAATCTTTTATTTTTTTCTTTCTAAAGTTGGAATCTCAATATTTTGCTTCCAGGTGAAATGCATCGACATTTGCTATTTATTAAAATATATATTTTCCTTTTGCTTGTGCAGATTTTAAAAAATATGTAAATAACCATTGCCAAAACAGAGAATTTTGTAATATATCCAGATTTCTTTGGCTTTATTTTGTTATTTATATAATTTTCCATTTTTCTTTAGACATTCTTCTTGTCTTGTACTCCAAAAAATGTTTTTGCAAGATTATTTGTTACAACAGAATTGAACATTGATCTTAACTGAAAAAAAATATGTAAATAATCTAAAAAGAATTTTGTATTTTTTTTTTCTTAAATATTGCAAATCCAGAATATAATTCCTGGAGACAACTAGTTTTAAAACCAGCTAGTAAAATTTAAAAAAATGGCTAATTTATTTGTGGTGGGAAGTGAAAAAAACTAAATAACTGTGTTGCTTAATTTTTCTGTTTAGTCTTTGATATGTTAAATCATCTTTGAATTAAGGCCAAAGTAATTTTTGAATGATCAAGTTATTAAAACACAGTAGTTTTTAACCTAATTGAAATAGTAATGGGGAAGAGAGTGCTTGGTCAATATGTAACACTTTTATGTATGGAATACTAAAGAATTTAAAAAAAATAGTTTTGCACATCCTTCATGCTTACCTTTTTATATGAAAAATTTAAAAGGTTTATTTATTAATAAATTTTTGTATGTTTAATATCAACCAGCCACAGGAAAGGAGCTATCATTTATTAAATGAAAGAAAATGTTGTAAGGATTAGAGGGTTTATTGTAGGAAATTATATATACTTCTTTAGATGTCAATGTGAAAAATTGTCATTTTTGCTTGATAGTTTTATTTATTTTTTTGTACCTGCTTTGATAGTTTCTACCAAAGGGCTGAAACCAATTTAAATTTTTACATTCTACATTTGTTGCAATACATTTTCTGAAAAGTTCTTGGTCCACGACTCTTTACATACTCCTAGTAAAAGTTGAAGAATTGAAAAAAAGGGATAAAAATATATCTTCAAGAATGCAAAAATATCAAGAACAAACATTTCAAAGTTACATTAAACTCATCACAATTGCTTCAAATTTGATTTTTTTCAGTTTTAAAAATCTGACAGTTTAAATCATATTAGTTTAAAATTTCATAGCTTCCATGGAGGAACTTAGGTAATTCAATTAAAAGCATTTTAACTGAATGACATTAGATAAGTAGTCATTTTAAATATTACTGTCAGCTCAACTTTTTTTTTTTTTTTTCAACCATCTGAAATGCAGTATCCTGAGGTGTGAGCAACCAACAATGCTAAACTTTTAGCATAACTCTTGGTTGGAAGTAATTGCAAGTTCTGTTAACACAGTTCCATTTTTGATCCATTAGACATGAATGATGTAATGAAAATTATATGATCTGTATCTGATAGGGAAGGATTTTCTCAGCAGTACAAATAGAATCATAACTGCAAGAAAACTTTGGGAAAATAATTCTTGGATGACGTGTTGCTGTTTACATCAACCTTTATCTTGTCCTTAATATCAAACAAACTCTGTTCAGAAATGCTTTGGCAGTTTTTCACTTTCAATTCTCTAACATTCCAACCATGTTCCAAGATAAGTCTGGGAAACAAACAAACAAAAAATAAAAACATTAATAATAAATACTTCAATAAAGAAAAAGTTAATCATGCAATGGATTTTTGTTTTCTATATAAGAGGTATATAGATCAGTGTGTTGAAAATGGTAAGTTTTATCTCCTTGAAAAAGGTTGTAGCAACAAAGTGCCCAATGAATAACAGAACAACATAAAATAGTTGTTTATTCCCTACTATGATTTACTAATTTGGCTCATCAAGCAGTTAGCCTTTAGAAACAATTTTACCTTATAAACCAATCATCATATCTCCTTTATATCATGCAAGATCTGAAAATGCTTAAACAATTAATCTGGCCTCAGGTGTGTTAGATATTTTCTTTTATGCTTACAATTTGTCAATATTTCTACATAATCTACAGAGCCACTCCAAGTGAGGAGAGAAGAAGAAAAAACAAACAACATTAGGATTAGTATGAGGCTATTTAAATAGAGGTTTTGCAATCATTCAACTCTGGGAATAAAAATAGCACTGTCATATTGAGATTCATATGAGAACTTAAAGAAAACATGCGTCTATAAAATAGAACATCATTAAAAAGTTACAGAGCAATAATGCAGGTGGGAGTATATACTGCAAAAAGAAAAATTGGTTCTAACCATTTTCTCTGCCCAGAAGAATTTATTAAATAAAAGGAGTGAAATAATGAATTGTAAGCATAAAAGAAAATATCTGTTGACACATCTTGTGGCAGATTAATAGTTTAAGCATATTATTAACTGATGAACCAAATTAGTGAAACTATAGTAGTAAGCAAGCAATTATTTTACTTTCTTATTTGGAATAATATAATAAAGGAATGACTCACACAACATAATTTGTCTTTTTGCCATAATAGGATTATCTTCCTTACAGTGATGATAGTTATGACAATGATTGAGGTAGGGAGGGGTGAAAAGACAGACTTTGAAAAAGCTTAATATGATCATTGGAGAAAAAAATAAATATTTAAAGGCTTGCATGTGAAAACATTACTAATTTTAAATATGCTATAATTTTTGACAGCATGGGTAAACTTGAATTTTAAATATGCTGTAATTTTTGACAGCATGGGTAAACTTGTATTCTAGATAATGCACAATTTCAAACACCAAGATAAAGATTACGCATAAGAGGCCATCATATAAACATCAAAAATCAATCTGTTATAAAAAGGTTTTTGGCTTGACAAAGTTGCACTTGAAAGAAAGAAAAAGAATCCAATATTTGGGAAATGGGTTGAGTCATGAAATTTTGAAAAAATACCAAGTGAGAGCCTGCCTAGAAAACAATCATTCAAACCAAATAAGAATATGCATGTGGTAGAAGACTAAAATGAATGAATTAAGAAGTTTCGATCTATTTTGACATTAGCATATCATTAATGAATAAAATAAGTTTAAGTTGTCTTGAGATGCTAACATGAAATGTTTTCATTTTTATTATTTTCTTTTTTATATCAATTCTCTGCTAAGATTCAAATGAAGAAGCTGTTTCAGACAACTTTGGATTAGTCTTTTAAAGGTACTTTAACAAATTAGATTATTATGATGGTCAGGTTTCATATATTTATTCTTTCTACTTTATTTCATATATTGATGACTACCAAAGATGAGAGATCAGTTCTCTTTCAAAGTTACGTTAAATTTATGTTATTCCTGCAATTTAGTAGTGGAATAGATTGGACAAAAACATTCTGATGAATCCAACAATAATAAATGAAAACCTACTAAAATGAAAAAGACACATTTGTGATTAAAAAAAAAAAAAAAAAAAGATGCAACAGTGTGTTAATACATAATTAACAAATTCAGAATTTGAGGCTTCTAGCTTAACCAAATTTTACATTACACTCCTGAAAAAACTTCATAAATTCATATTGACTTGTAGTGATGAATAATTCTGAGTAAATTACGCTGATTGTACAATTTCTCTCATTCTTTTCAACTAGCTAAGAATACAAATATTTTATAAAATTTCTTTTGCACAAGGGGAAAATGATTTTAATAAAATTTTTATTTTGCTCTACTTCTGAAGCACAATGCCCAATAAACTTGGTAAATCCAATTAAAAATCATTTTCTCATGCTTATTTTCTCAGATGCTGCTTCTTGGCTAATTTAATCTTCAATTTATAATAGAAACAAAAAAATTCATAGCATTTAATTCCCTCTATATTCACTAACAATCAGTTTATAGAGTATCAATAGGCATATATTTATATTTTTACTCGTTTCCTCGCACAAATGATTGAATGAATAAAATAAACATTACTTACTTGATACACCTGTCTGTGAGTCTGTAACATCCCCTTAAATCTAACTTGGTCATCATAGGACAGGCTTTAACCATCAATTCAACACCATAGTTTGTTAACTGATAGACGTTCTTGCATTTTATAGTCGTCATTCTTAAAAAGAAAAAAGAAAAAAAACATTTTTAAAGTACGGGAAAATTCTTTTTGATCTCTTATTTTATCTTTGCTGTTCTAGTGTTTGTATTATATAGTTGTATTTTCTCTAATAATATTTTTTATAATAGAAAAAACTTAGTATTTTTTAAAATCTTTTTTATTATAATTAATATTGGTCCTTTATGTAACATTAAACTAAACTCAAACATTTTATACAAATGTATTTTTTATTGTACTGCTTATAGAAAAAAATTCTTTGCTATTTAAAAATAGGTTTTATATACAAGTAGGTTTTAGAAAAGAAACAAACATTACTTTTGGCAATGAAAGACCAAAGTGCGGATGCCTTCATCAGTGACATTGGAACAGTTGTTGATGTTCAGAAACTCCAAGAAATAGCACTTGTAGGCAATGGTTACAAGACCAACATTATGAAGCCATGTACATCCAGATAGGTTGAGGTAAGTCAGTTGACGACAGGAAGCTGATACTGTCAGCAGGACGCAGTCATGGAGCAATATACAGTTTTTGATAGACAAATGTTTTAGACGTGTATTACACTCAATAACTGGAGTTAGCATTTCCTTTGTCAGAAAAGAACAGTTTTTTAGGATCATTGTTTGAAATGAGTTGTTATCTTTGATAAGGATTTCAAATGCTTTTGGTGAAATACAGTCAGCCACATCAGTTAGGTCAAGTTTAGAACATGAAATGAAATAATCATCAATCATTTTCTTGTATTCCTTGTTGACTTGTCGTAGATAGAAGCAATCAGAAATAGACAAATAGGGTAACACTTTTGTCCACAAAACATCTTGCCAGGGAAGGTCTAATAGAGTATGGCAGAACTTTTCAGTGCAATCATCAGTCTGGTCATCTGTGGGGAGAGAAAAAAATGAATTTCTGTTTACATAACAGGTTCATTCAAGTATTTATTTCTGCTTAGACATGATGCTATTAAATGCTTAGCAACTTTTATCTAAAAATGCATTTTCTTACATTCACTTATTATTAAATGACTAATAGATAAACTGCTGGAAAACATTTCAATTTAACTAAATTATGCATTCCTGTCATGTAGTATTATTAGCAATAAAATTACAAGCTTGATACAACTGATTCAAGGGGAATATAAATGAAAGACAACAAACACTAAAAATAAGTTTCTTTTAATGCTTTAAAATTTTTAAAGTTAAATTCAACTTTCCAATAACAAGTTTCCTTAATCTTGTGTATAAGGATTTGTTTCAGATCAGCATCATTGAAACATTAAAGTTATGAAGAAATACATATTATTTGAAAGGTAAGTGATTAAAAAAATTCATCATTAAGAGTGCTTGAAAATTATCCAATACAAATTTTAAGATTACATTTTTTTTACCAATAGTTTCTCATAACAACTTCAAACCAATAAATTAGCTGATGAATTTCCTAATAAACGTTTTTAAGAGAAATTAAGCAAATAAGTATGCACTTACTAGACTGATAAAGTTCTAAATTAATCAAAACAGGTATTTTTGGTTAGTTAATTATGGTGTTTTTTCAAGTAATAAGTATTAATATATTTTTGAATTGAGTTAAATCTTTTCAAGAAATAAAAAATATAAAATATTTAGTTACTTTGTTCTTTATTACAATCGTGAGAGGAATTATCAGCAGAATCTGTAGAAGCCATTGATTTTGAAAACACCTGGAAAAGAATGGAGCAAAATTTTTTTTACATGAAGTGTTAAAGGCACATCAGTATTGTATTCATCTATATACCCACTCTGCAAGAATGTGACATGGTCAGTGTTTAAAGTGGGATTTCAGACATGTGCAAAAATAGATCTAGCTTCAGCATATCCCCTCAGCTGTTTGAACCAGGAGTTTGTTCTGCAGTAAAGTTGCCCTTTTGTTAGGGGCAAGTAGTTAGTAATAGCAGTAGTCACAAGGCTGCAAAGAGCAATCCAAACTGGTTCAAGAGTGGTGTAATGTGAGGTGATGGTGGGATGTAATGACTTATATACTTAAGAGCTGTGTCTGAAACCATACCAAGGTAACTGTTACCAGGCAACCTCCACCTCCCCATTCTCTCTTGTCATTTCAGATTACTGAGATTAATAATTGTGTCATAGTTTTTGAGAAATTAGTGATAGAAGCTGAAATTCCAGACATTTAGGGAATTTTTAGAAATCTCCACAAACATAGAAATGCCTAAATTCTGGATATATCTGGGAAACTCTGGATGTATGGTAACATAGCTGCCAATCAAACTAGTGCTGTGCTTGAATTTGTGAGGCTGAAGTGCCAAAGAAGAAAGGTCACCAAGGTATAGGGTAGCTACATTATAATTGGAAACTAACTCAGGCAGAGGTGCCAGGTCAGAATTGATAACATTGCATATTCTTTGTATTTTGTCAAGAATCTTGACAACTTTCCACAATGCTGTCATTAAAAAACATCCTGATTGGACAATAAATATAAAAATTGTATTTTGTTTATCTTCACATGCAAAGTTCTAAAATCTTGCACAGCTAAACACATATAGGTTCCAAACCAAGTTTTCATGTTTCTGACTACACACAAGCTGTTCAAACCAAAAAAAAAAAAATGAAAACGTTTCTCAAGCCTATCATGTGATTAAAAAGTAAATAAATGATACACTAGCACATTTGTGCTAGTGAGCAAGTGACCAGCAATCAATTGCCTCCTTAATTCACATCACACAATTCTCAGGTTTTAAGTTACTTCTGAATATATTTTCAGCCTGCAGAAAAAAACACTCACTCACTAACTTGCATGGCGATCATTATTCATTCTCGCTAGTGAGTTCATTAAAACTTTATCAATATCAACACTTGATAACGAAACTAAATTACAATATTTAGAGTTCACATCAACATTTCAACATCATCTTCAAAACAAAGGATTATGATCAAAGAGGGACAACTTCTGAATGAACTGTGAATTGGAAACTAACCCTTAAGATTCAGCTCTCAAGAAACTGTTTAATTTTAACATACACTTATAAATATTCTCTCAACTTTTCACATAAATTTTCATGCAACAATTTATTCAAAACACATTCTTTCCATAAAGCTTTAATTACTATTTCAAACAAACTAGGAAAGGACGTTGAACTAAGTATAAACTTCTATGTAACACAAAAACAGTTGTACACAAATTTAAATTTAGCTATAATTTCAATACATCTTGGGCATGTCGATAAACTACATCCGCGTCCTGGGTAAGACAATAAAATAAGTCCAACAGCAAGGCCTTTGAGCAGGAGTTTTTGAGGAGCATGGAACCACCTCTTAATTGCTAGTGTTCCCAGGTCCACCCTGACCCAGGGTGGTAGTACCTGTTAGGGTCCCAGCTATGGGCAAATAGTTAATCCCAAACTGGGGTCAAAACACTATGAAAGTGAAAAAAAAGGTATTAATACCAGAAATACCTTGTAAAAAAAAATATTACCAACAATACATTTTTGGAAAAAAAGAAAGATATTAACAGCAATACATTTCTGAAAAAGAAATCTTGTTAACATTAAATAACCCATTTAGGTTTCTATGCCATAAAAACTAATCCAATCCAATTCACTACAAAACATCAACACAATTTGTATCACTTTTGTCACTGCTAAAAGAAAAATCTATTTTTGTTATTGCATTGATTTGTCGAATTTGTTATTTCTCATTGTCTATTATGTCTTGTTGAAAGCAAAAATAGTAGTGATTGAATTGAGGCCATTCAATCCCCTACAAGACATAAGCACCAGACCAGATGTGGCAACAATATTCAAGGCATGGACAAATGGTAGATTTCTAAAGTTGTAAACTAAATTTTGGCAAGAAAATTTGTCTAGCCCAACATAGTGAACCAATTTTAGCAATAAATTCAATTAATTGTTCCACTTAAATGACAATGGAAAACGTGAGAGCAAGAAGGAGCAGTGAGCTGCTCTCCTGAAGATTAGCATTAGCCATGCTGATGGAGGGCAAAAAAAAAAAAAGTTCTTTAAGATGATTAATTTCCAAGTATTTAATGATTTTTTTTCATAATGTTGTCATAAAGTTGTGTCACTTTGAAAAATATTAATTCGCTGAGAAATATTTCAATGAAGAATTTGAAAGATAAAAAGAGCTGTGGTAGTAAAACATTAAATTTGTTTTTTACACGCACTGTTGTTTCATGAAAAGTTGTGCTGGTTTATTTAATGGAAAAATGCGAAATGTCCATTCACAAAAAGGTATACAGGAAAAAAAAATGCAATTTTTTTTTGTTTTATAAAGATCAACATTACTATATTTTTAAATGAAAAAAATCAACAGTTCAGCAGAACCATAAAGTAATGGAATTTTTTAGAAGAAGAATTATCATTTATGTTTTATTCAAACTAAAATGCTCATCTTGGTTATGCCACACAACGTTGTATCTTCCGTCCCTTTTTTCAGATGTCTCGACAATCTTCTTGGATATTTGAATCGAACCCTATTCAATCCATAATCAGTAGATTGAGATAAACACACTAATCCGAAAAAAGAAAAGAAAAGAAAAGAAAAAAAAACACAGGCAGAATTAGCAAAAAATATGTCAAAACTTATGTAAAGTTACAATTCATAAAAAGAAAAAGCAGTTAATGGTTAAATTTTAAGGGTGAAATAAAGAAATTTTATGATTGTAAATGTCATGATTTTACAACACTTTACTCCAGCTCACTCGCTGTTTGTACAAAAAAATTTAAACGTTATCTTGTCCAGTGTCTATTATTCATATTTATTACGAATTTTAAATGAATATTTGTTTCTTAGAAAATAAATTAAGACAGACAAGTTCTAAATATTTGATCGATACAATAATAATAACTTGTTTCTATTACGGAGAAAACTTAGCTATCAATATCTCACTTTTCGAAAACACTTGTGACGCCATACAAAGCCGAATTATTAAGTAAAAGTAAATAAAAAAATTAAGGATAAGCAGTACTGCTTCCGACAAAAAGTGTTATATATTACCTTTATTAATGCTGCACCAATATTTAGATTAATGACTTAGTGATAAATTTTGCTAATGTCATTTCACCATAACGGTGATTATCAAAAAATGTTCCTACTGCGATTAAAGATGTATTTAATTTATATTACGTAAACATGGTAAGGAAATTTGATGATCATCACTTACCTGACTTTTACAGAGTTATTGGCCCTTGGATAAGTTATTAAGCTGTTATTTACAAATGAGAAGTTTCAAAATAAGTATGCCTGTAGTATTTTAATTTTCTGTATTTTTAAAAAAAATTAGAGTATGGAAGCACTTGGACGAACATTTGGGGGCCATGTTTAAACGGATACATAATTTTATTAAGTTATGTAAAGTTGTGTAACCCACCGAAAAGAGAAAAACAATTTATATACGCAAAAAGGTCACTAACTTAAAAGTCGGGGATCGATTTGACACGGTATCGTTATATATATATATATATATATATATATATATATATATATATATATATATATATATATATATTCACCTTTTCAAGCAAGGCGGGAAGCCACTAGGACGCAAGGGATTACAGAAAATTTGGAGCAAGATCAGATAGGAGTGATAGAAGAAAGGATGAGGAGAAGGGTAGTGGATAGATCAAGGCAACTGGAAATGTCGATTGACATTACATTTGAATAGCTGGAGATTATAGCTCTCAGGAAACTGGAATAGGGAAGGGAGTTCCACAGGCGAGAGGGTGTGAGAGATATATATATATATATATATATATATATATATATATATATATATATATGGTGCGATGGGTAAATTGTCGTCATTTTATATTTTTAATTTCATGCATGCACATTTATCTTTGATTTTGTCGCCTGTCAAAAAAAAAAAAAAAAAAAAAAAAAACCACCATGATGACACAATTTACTCCTCCAGAAATTTGGAAACGGCATGCTATACTACTTCGCGCCGGAAACTCCAATACGTAGATTCGTTGTGGGGTCCGCATGTCGAGACGAACCCCGCAAACATTAAAATTAAAGAAGTGACACAGGCCAAGGCAAGGATAACGGGAACAAGGAATTTATATAAAATATGCCAAAACTTATTATTGACAGAAAAATACAATCGAAGAATCCAGATATTTTAAATATCCTGGGTCTTAGATGCGTCGACAGTAGATGATGACCGGAGCAACTTGAGTGGTGGCGAAAGTTGATAGTCGGTGTATTGGGTTGGTACTAGCTAGTAGTCGTAGCTCAGAGGTGTCGAAGGACGATAAGTCAGTGAGGGTCGATAGGTAGTTGGCGTGTTGAGTTGGTACTAGCAAGCAATCTTAGCCAAGGATAGGAAGTTGAAACCACATTGATTCACGAGATGATGGGTAGCAGGGAGTGAAACCTGAATCATCGAGTGGATTGGTAGAAGACGTGGGCGGCGGGAGTCAGTTGGTCTCTGATGATTGCTGGTGATCGCTAATGATCACTGGTAGTCGCTGATGGCTACTGGTCCAGATGATACTCTATCATCTTGATCCCAGTCAGAATTTACCTTTGACTCCACGCTGTGTCAGGATGCGACTGTAGAATCAGACTTCTACATTTGTTTAAAAACCCATAAAAAGTGGTTCAGAGCGAAACTTATCTAAAATAAATCCAAGTAGCCCAACAACCCATTAAAATCGGCTCCAGACGAGAAGTAACTAAAAACGCTTTCTGATTGGCTAATAAAAACAAAAAATCATAATTTCATACGTTCTCAACTACGTACGCATAATATCGGTTTAGTGTTTATCCTAAGCAGATACAAAATGTGCGCGAAATTTCTTGGAGCCTTCCACGTGACTTGAAACATCAACAAATACGAAACATCATTCGACTTCGACAGTGAGTTTTACAAATTTTCTCAGCTCGACACACGAATCCATATCACATATTTTACTAGGCTTAAAGTTAAATTTACTTAACATTTCCACAGCTTGCAAAGTACATTCACTCAACTACATAAACTCAACAGAAAACATCAAGTGACAAATTCAATCAAAGAGAGACAACTTCATACACAGAAAAGTACAATATTACAAAATTCAACATCAAAAACAAACTGTTTAATTTTCCTACAAACACAAAAATACCTTATCAAACGTATCCATTTTTATACACACAACTTCTCAACTCTTAATCTTTCATATAATATCTTCATAAACAGGTCAATCCACACAAGAAAAAACTTTGAAGCAGTTTAAACAACTCTTAAAATACAATTTTGTACCTTCTATTGGTTACATATAAAAAATATTTATTGTTGAACCAAAGAATTGCTTCATGTCGTTATTTCTCTTATTGTTTGCTTGCTTTTTGTTACATTTGTGAAATTAAAAAAAGTAGCAGGTTAATCGAATTTCCATCAACCCTTTACAGATTGGTAAACCAAGTCTTGTTGGTGGCATTTACCCTCCTCCCATCGCATACAAATTGGTGACCCCGACTTGTTGGTAGTGCAGACTAATACACACAAATGTGCAAAGGAGTGTATTAAATAACAATACATCGGAGAATAACATTCATAATTTACACAAGTTCAGATGGAAACTTCTAACAGCGATCATATCGGGACGGTCATCACTGTAGTAAACCTACGTACGTATAACGAAACCAACGAACAGGTTTGGCTTTCTTAGTTAAATGTAATCTTCAACGCCAAGAAAATCACATCGCAAAACGCTCGATACGCCTATGTAGTTGAGAATCTTCCCGCAGATGTTGCAATGGAGATAGCTGACCTGCTTAAGGAGGTGCCGGCAGATAAACCTTACGATACATTAAAAAACGCAAACATACACCGCACAGGCGAATCCGAAGAAAGACACGATTAGACATGGCACTCGGAAGTAGAACAGTCTACCCAAGCGAGCGAAATAAAGAGTTCAGTTCGACGGTCCAACCACCTGAAAAAGGCCGGAGCGTACAATGGCCGAAACGTTGTGACAAATATGGCAAGAAAGATGAGGATGATAGTTCGAACAATGTAAATAGTGTACATAATACCTCATCTCAGAAATATAGACAGATACTTAATGTAATTTGAAAGGAACATTACTTTTTTAGCAGAAATTTTTTTAAGCGAGACATGTCCAACTGTAGTGATTAGTTTTGGGAGGTGTGAATTGACGTACATCAATGTATTGACAACTTACATCAAGGGAATTTATCGGATGATAGGACAGAAGTGACAAAATTTGTGCTAATTTTAAGTGAACCTGGTTAGTAGAGTTAAATAAAAAATATACTTTCAATTTTTTTTTTTTACCTTACGTTTGAGGGAGAATTCTGAAATAAAAATAAAATTTAAATTGCGAAAAAATACATTTAGAATTCAAATTTTATAACAGACCTTAAAAGAGTAAACCGCTACGAATCACTGCGATCCGACTGCATGGTAAAGGAAAGGGGTAGACATGTCATGCGCTACCTATTGAAGTCGGGTACCGTGGATTCCTTGAACGGTTAATCGTTTCCTTCCTTTTGAAAGGTGGGCACCACTGGCGAGTGCGTGAAACGTGTTTCACGTCGTCTCCAGACCCCACAGCTGAACGTGCATCTAGTTGTATCTGATCAAGATCTCAAATAAACAAAGTTAAATAAAACCAAGCTCGCAACATAATGCTACTTCCGACGTGAAATACATCTGTTTACCTTCCATTCTAAGTTATTGATAACGGTTGCTACGAGCGCGGTGTGCATTAATTAACGATCAAAAGCAAACGCTTTTAACACAACGTTGAAAATCTGACTTGCAGTTGCATAAAAAAAAAAAAAAGAAATCGCAGAAACTGACACGTTGAACCCACACAAAAAAACAATATCTTGTCCGGTGATAAAAGCTGCTTGGTGGTGCCAGGGATAGAAGTACCGCCTTATCCCCCAAAACTGTGTTACCTCCCCTGATTGGCTACTGATGAGGGCAGGGTATTGCACGCGCTTTCCCATGTTGTATATCTCATATACATTTTCTTATATTGCAGTTGCTCTAGGAAAATTGTGGTTTATTTGTGCATCCTGGAATTCGTCAAGAGAAACAACCCAGTTTTCCAGTTTCCTCCCTTATATCGCGTAGAATCAGATTCCTACATTGTTTTAAAATTAAATCCAACATTTGTGCAAGTTAAGCACATAGAGGCTCCCAGCCAAGTATAACAACTGATGCATTCTAATTGGTTAAAAATATCAATTAGGTGTCGTCAACTACGTCCGAATGTACCGAATCAAATTTTGACCTCGAGTTGACGCCACAAAATATAAACATGTTCCCGATCTCCCACGTGACCAAGAGAACTTATAAAAACGAAACTTTGACGAGACTTGGTCAGTGGGCACTTAAAATATAGAATTCATTGACTTGACTTCATTGAAGATCGACTCAACAACAAAAGAGACGAACCAAATTCTTCAACACGACAATGAACCTTGCCAACCAATTCCAGGCTTAACGTTAATTACTAAAATTAACATAAATCCAGCTTGCAAAGAGAAAAAAAAAACAAAAAAAAAAAACGCTCACTCCCACAAAATATTCTATTCTGCAACAAGCATTTCCGGTAAAAGAGCGACAACTCTGTAAACATCAGTGTCAAGAACAATACTTTTTTTTATTTAGTACAACCCCCCCCCAAAAAAAAACTGTTTAATTTTCTTACAACAAATATACATAATTACACCTTCTCATTTTACACATACAGTTCAGCAACTTAAATTCCTTTAGTATCACACACCAAAGAACTATAAAGTGTTTTAACAACTTAATCATCATATATTTTTGTATTTGTTGCGTTTATAAAAAATATTTATTGTTGAACAATTTTTTCTACTTGATTATTTCTCTTGTTGTTGTCTTTGTAACATTTGATATAGTAAAAATAATAGAGGGTAAGTTTTATTTGTATTTATAACCAATACAGATTGGCTAACCCACTATAATAGCAAATATTCCGTAAACGGTAAATATGTGAATAACCAACTAAATGAAGGCTAAATTGAAATCATTGTGGCATTGATTTGTTTTAGCATCTCCACTAGCGTTTATTATTAATATGTCCATTTAATTACAATTTAATAAATCTAATATTTGGAATGTATGGTACCTGGAATACATAAATCCTAATGCAAAGAAAGTTATTGTGTATATTCGTGTTTGAGCGTTATCAAGTTTTTCAAGTAATTGTACTATTTCTGACTGAAATAATAACCCTTTTGGGCCAAGATATGAGTACATTAAAGGGGATTGTTAAAGAAGTTTCATGTCAAAGTTTCAGAGACGTATAAAAGAAAACGAGTGACCAAGTGGCAAATATGATTACCTATTTTAGTTTACATTGTTTTGCCAACTATAAAAACTCGGGCAGTAAAGTTTTTATAATACATTTCCCGTGATTCCGCAGATAATGATGGTTCAAAAGGAGTTTATTTAGATGGGCAAAAGGTAACTCAGTTAGAAGGAAATGTCCAATAACAAACTTAGCCAGATTAACTATAGCCAGTCATGTTAGAGAGGCAAACAAAAAGAATGTATGTCACCCACTACTAACTACCCTGCTGAAAGACACTAGTGTGATTCTCAGCATAGGTCTCATTGTTAACTGTCAGTTTTAATATCCCAAATTCTCTCTAATTAGTTCGTAATATATTAAACAGTCGTACATGAAATGATAAGTTGTGTCAGGAAGCGGAGCCAAGCCAAGGATTACAGACTTTCAACGCATCACAGAGTTTAAATGATATTGGATGGACGACTGGGTATCTGTCAGTTACATGAATTTGACTGCATCTCGTGCAAAAATGATGGTAAAAGGATTAACTCGGCCATTGTTATTTAAAGTTTCCAATTATACATGCAGAATCAAAACGACAAAAAAAAAAAAAAACTGAAGTTAATTCTATCATTGTCAAGAGGACAAAACCAACAAAATGCTAATACAAAAACTTACAAAAATTACCGTTTCATGCCATCAATGATATACCAACATGACTTAATGCAACAAAGCTAGATGACGAAAGAAAGGAAGTCTCGTTGATACGAAATAAAGCAAAATATCCCAACACCTGCACACTGCTGTTCAATAAGACCTCGATCGAAAGAATGCAGAAGAGAAGAGTTACTCCAAATGAGGAGGCTCAAAAGAGAATCATAGCAAGAGATACTTCCCATAATATGAAAATTTAGCTACAGCTAACCATTCAGCATAGGGTGAACCGGGGTCATTGGGGTGACATTTGAGCGGACCGCCCCGGGTGACGTTTACTTTAGCTACGCCACTGAATCAAACACAATCTTGCACAATCTTTGCAGTTCAACTAAGTATAAAGAAAGATAAACGCCAGCAGACATTAAAAAGAGTGCGAGCCACCATTTACTGTGTCTGCCGGGATAAAAGTGTTTGTCAAGACAAGAAAAAGAGGATTAAATTACAAATTTCGTAAGAATAGAATTTGCATGCGGTATATTGGAAATATTCGGCTAGAAGCAGATCAATATAGGAAAGATGTATATTCGCTGTTTGGAGAAACGTGCTGTTCATAACAAGTACATCGTTCCACGGTACAAGTATTTGAATGTTTTTTTTTTTACCACTACCCCACCAAGTTCTGATAGCAGTGCAGAAGTAAGATTATGGGAAGTAAATCAAAATAATATTCCTTAATTTCCCTAATAATGCATCTATATTCTTCCAGCCTTCATCAGTAGGAAGAATCCAGTACCAAGTAGCATTGGTGATGTTTCGTTGTCAGATCCATGCCATTTCCAGAGAAATCGGAGACTCGAATATCAGTTTTAGAAAAATGCTACCACAGATATAGAAGATTCAACCAACATGAAAGCCAGCAAAAGTCTAAAGCTTTTGATACCAGTATCATATCTCTGTTGCCACGAGATCAAACTCTTTGTATTGTCATCATTAAGCATGACATAAATAAAAAAGAAAGGTGTAGCGTTCCTAAACCTAGGACAAACCAAAGTTCTGATTGCAGAATAATATGGAAAGGGCAAGTTCGTTATCATGTTTGTCGGACAAAATATCGATATGACAGAACTGAAATGTATTGGATAAACATCAGAAGACAAGTGCTTTTGCTAAAGGTGATGTAGCCTTGAAGAAGTTCACCTGATTCAATATCAGTTCAGCTTTACGGACAATGTTCTTCGCATACAAACAGTAACATATGAATAAATTCAAGCTTTGCGCATGCGCGCACGCACACGCATATATTTGTCCTATGGTACAGCTTTTAATACACACAAAAAGTCATCACCAACAAACAAGTGGAATAGCTGATCCACTTACTGACGAACGAATAACAAATTCTAGGCGAATTGTACTGAATGTTTTTCTTATTGGTATTGTTCTCCAGCTTTATAGCTGGAGTAGGTTGGCTTGGTTCACTTGACTAACAGTAATAAAAACTGTTTATCAA